CACAATGTAAAGGATGTCAACCTGATATACACAGTGTAAAAGCTCTTCAAGTCACAATGTTTTCGTTATAACGCCTTTATACCAATTTTTAATGACATCACAAAATAGACATACATTTTCCATATTCCATTTCTCATCATTCCCAACATTTGGATGTTGAAATATATTGTCCCAATGTTCATTGTTTGATGTTGAAGTTTTTGGGCGGCAAAAGTATCTGAAACAAAGGACATTCCCTTCACCATACTACAGGGCCAGAGATTCTCCTATCTCCGTGGGTAAGAGAGTCTGGTTGTTGTCTGCCATTGTCCTGGCTGATATGAGGCCTTTGATCCTCACCCAGGGAGAGTAATGAGTGTTATAGCAGCAAAGGGGGGACCAACTCCATATTAATGCCCATGATTTTTGAATGAGATGTTCCACGAGCAGGTGTCCACATACTTTTGGTCATGTAGTGTAAGTTTGGCCTTGAGCCCTTTCACGTTGGAATACAGTTCATGCATTCATTTTTTTCCAAGCAGGCAGACACTGTGTCATATAAGTCCGAGCCCCTGGTTGTCTGTCCCCATTATCGATTCCATTGCAAGAAGTTCCTCTGTTATTTCAAAGTTATCATTAATCCAAAAAAAATCTAAAATTAAAAGTTGATGTCAGTACTTTCATCCAGTGAGATAGAAAAAATATTGAAGTCTTTCGTTTTCTTTTTCAGCTTGGAGGTTAGCTCCTTGCCTATCACTTCCACATGATAAGCACATTTTCTCGAATTGGCTTTTACTGTCCGGACAAAGTATGCTAGCAGTCTCCACCATACAGTCTTTCACAAACTCCCCTTCGGCGAAAGGCTTGCACAGCTTTGCAATTTTATGTGCCACTTTGTAACTTGCCTTAGTTACCGATTCTTGAGTAGAGGACTGTTTGGTAAAAGGATTTTGTTGGGCTTGCAAGTTTGTGGCAATTGTAGAGGCCTTGCTTGCCTTTTCCTGGGAGGACAGATTGCTAGCGTAGTTAGCATGCTTCCTTAAAAAATTACGACTGACGTTGTATTCCTTCAAAACTGTGATATTTTCTTGGCATATCAGACATACAGCCTTCTGTCCCACATTAGTGAGCACACGACATTCAGAGTCCACTTTTCTCTCTTTCGCCTCACTCATTTTTCATGTCAACATTTTCAAGAATGGACGGTGAACGCAGATTCGAATTGAGAGCGTGAGCACAGTGTGGCTGTCTGAATTTAGGCCTAATACGAGCAGCTACTAGGCTACAGTGCCATCTATCATAGTTTGTTTGTATAGCATGGAAGAATACATTTTTTGGCAAAAAATATAATTACATTTTATAAATGTTAAAAAGTGCCCGCGGGCCGTACTTTGCCCGCCTCTGCCCTAACCCGAACCTTAACCCTTTAACCTAACTCCTAACCCTAACCTTAACCCTAACACTAGCCTAGCTAATGTTAGCCACCTAGCTAACGATAGCAACAACACATTGGAATTTGTAACATATTGTACGAATTGCAATTTGTAACATAATACGAATTGTAATAGAGCTCGCTTGCTTGTTGTCATAAAACCCGGAAATGATTTACCTCTGTTTCGTTCAACCATCCCTATGGGAACAATTAATGGGGAAAGAATAGGGTTTTGGAATAAACATAGAAAATAAGGTCTGAGGTTAAGACAGGCTTAGGAGATCTTATATGTTTTGTTCTGTGAGATAATAGCAGGTCAGTTAACATAACCTTTATGAATTATGAAGCTTTATGCAAGGTCAAACAGACAGGCTTGGATGAGATCTTTAAGGTCAGACCCAAGCCATCCCCTGTACCCGGACTTTAAACTACTCCCCTCTGGGTGCAGGTATAGGGCACCCCCAGGCAGGAAAAACAGAACTAGACAATAATTTGTGCCAGGTGTGATATCCCTCCTAAACTGGCCGGGCTAATGTTCCTATCCACCCAGTAAGGCCAGCAGGCTAGACTCTTTTATTGGTATGTAACTGTTATGAATTTTGTATTGTCAATTTGTTGTCTACTGTATTTAAACGCCACTTTAAATGTATACATGATACTGCAACAAAATGTTTAATGGGGACAATAAAGTCAGTAAAGTTATGTGCTTTATCTGCTTTTTTAATAAAATAAATTCTTCAAAATCCACAAAAGGTGACTTTAGCTGATGAAGACTATCTCATAGAACAAAAAGTATAAGATCTCCTAAGCCTGTGTTTACCACAGACTTTATTTTGGCAGTTTATCAAAAAACGCTACAAAAATGCCATTAATTTTCCTCATAGACTTTGTCCAATGAACCATGGAGGAGTTAGTGCCTACAAAGAGACGCCATTACTATCTCTCTCTATTCGTAACATATAATACGAAATGGATGATGGACATCCACAAATGAATACCTACCATACTAATTGGAGTGTTCTGGATTTACATTTACTATGTGACGTCTACCCTTGAGTCCAGGTTGCAGCAGCTAGCAAGCAACAAGAAGAAACTATGAATTACAGGCAACATCCGCACTGAGCTGAATGTTAGAGCTGCCGCTTTCAAGGAGCGGGACATTAACCCGGACGCTTATAATAAATCCCACTACGCCCTCCGATGAACCATCAAACAGGCAAAGCGTCAATACAGAACTAAGATCGAATCCTACTACACCGGCTCTGATACTCGTCAGATGTGGCAGGGCTTGCAAACTATCACGGATTACAAAGGGAAACCCAGCCACGAGCCGCCTAGTGACACAAGCCTACCAGACAAGCTAAATGCATTCTACGCTTGCTTTGAGGCAAGCAACACTGAACCATGCGTGAGAGCACCAGCTGTTCCAGACGACTGTGTGATCACGCTCTCCGTAGCCAATGTGAATATGACCTTTAAACAGGTTAACATTCACAGGTTATCATTTACAGACGGATTATCAGGACGCGTACTCGGAGCATGCGCTGGCCAGCTGGCAAGTGTCTTCACTGATATTTTCAACCTCTCCCTGACCCAGTCTGTAATACCTACATGTTTCAAGCGGACCACTATAGTCCCCGTGCCCAAGATCGCCAAGGTAACCTATCTAAATGACTATCGCCTGTAGCACTCACATCTGTAGCCATGAAATGCTTTGAAAGGCTGGTCATGGCTCACATCAACATCTTCCCAGACACCTTGGAGCCACTCCAATTTGCTTACCGCCCCAACAGATCCACAGATGATGCAATCTCTATTGCACTCCAAACTGCCCTTTCCCATTTGGACAAAAGGAACACCTGTGTGAGAATGCTGTTCATTGACTACAGCTCAGCGTTCAACACCATAGTGCCCTTGAAGCTCATCACTAAGCTAAGATCCCTGGAACTGAACACCTCCCTCTGCAACTGGACCCTGGACTTTCTGGCGGGCCACGCCCAGGTGGTGAGGATAGGCAACAACACATCCGCCATGCTGACCCTCAACACGGGGGCCCCTCAGGTGTGCGTGCTTAGTCCCCTCCTGCGCTCCCTGTTCACCCACGACTGCGTGGTTGCGCACAACTCCAACACCATCATTAAGTTTTCAGATGACACAACGGTTTTAGGCCTGATCAAATCAAATGAAATGTTATTGGTCATATACACATATTAAGCAGATGTTATAGCGGGTGTAGCGAAATGCTTGTAACTACAATGACTACTGACTACGATGAGAGGTCAGGGACCTAGCAGTGTGGTGCCAGGACAACAACCTCTCCCTCAATGTCAGTAAGACAAAGGAGCTGATTTTGGACTACAGGAAATGGAGGGCTGAGCACAGCGCTGCTGCAACTTCGACAGGGCTGTAGGGGAGAGAGTATAGAGCTTCAAGTTCCTCGGTGTCCACATCACTAAGGATCTATCATGGTCCAAACACACCAACAGAGTCGTGAAGAAGGCACAACAACACTTTTCCCCCACAGGAGGCTGAAAAGCTTTGGCATGGGCCCTCAGATCCTCAAAAGGTTCTACAGCTGCACCATCGAGAGCATCTTGACTGGCTGCATCACTGCTTGGTATGGCAACTGCTTGGTATCCGACCGCAAGCCGCTACAGAGGGTAGTGCGTACAGCACAGTACATCACTGGGGCCGAGCTCCCTGCCATCCAGGACGTCTATTCCAGGCAGTGTCAGAGGAAGGCCCAAAAAAATGTCAAAGACTCCAGCCACCCAAGCCACAGACTGTTCTCTCTGCTACCGCACGGCAAGCCAACAGGACCCTGAACAGCTTCTACCCCCAACCCATAAGTCTTCTAAACAAGACTGCTAAATAGCTAATTAAATGGCGACTCGGACTACCTGAATTGACCCTCAGAGTGGGGGACTGGGAATGGTGCCAAAGGTGCAACCATACTGTCACAGATGACAAAAGGGAAATCAGATATTGTTGCCATGTCAGCAGGGGGAAAAATACCTGAAATATTTAATAATCTCCCCTTGATTAATAAGGAAATCAGGATAGAATGGGTATCATCACCAACCCCTATTCTGCAGTCTTAGAAATGTTGAAATGAAGGCAGGCTTTTTGGCTCAATTGTAGAGAAAAGCTATCTTCCTTTGAACAACTCAAAAGGATTTAGAGGATACCTGTAGCCCAGAGCCATGTATTTAGAACTCTCTAAGTATATGGCTCTGCTGTAGCCCACCTATGCCTGTTGAATCTATAATAATTGTGGAATAGTCCTACCCTCAAAATGGGGTTCGTAGATGATTTCAGCTGGTCTGTAGCCGAAGTGTAGAAAGATGATAAAACTGTTTTGCCCAGATAATACTTTATCAGAAAAATATGTAAAAATAAATAAATAAAATGATATAATTGAATACATTGTTTTCTTATCAGTTCAGAAACATATCACTCAAACTGGGTCAACGAATCTCTCCTGGCTGAATCTATCCCCGATTCTTGGATTTCATCTATTTATCTAGACCGGATATATGGTTTCAACAAACACCGCCTCTTCCTTTCTGGACAAGAATCGTTGGCCAACATGGCTCCGATTGTGAGTACTCACGGTGAAATATGTTGTATAGCTAACTATAAGATGTTTTATTGTCTGTCGTTTATTGTACTTAATGTGCACGTAATAAATCCACATTGGACTGTGTTTCCGTGAGACCAAATAAGTAAAGGAGTACCAATAAATGGCTTTGTTTACCAGTTGGGCCTGCACCCAATGAACCACGTTGTAGCAATTTAGTTAATGCGTTAGCGAGCTAGTCGGCAACTGTGTAGTTGTAAACGTGAACCATTGGCAAGCCAGCTGGCAATACACTAGATATAAGTTGTCGTGCTAATTAAAATCCGATTAATGGCACTTTTAAAAAAATGTATATAAAACAAATGTTGCCAAAATGTTATACTAAAGTCGAGTCTCGTTAGTTAACAAACGTCAAGCTAACGAGCTAGCTTATCATATTTCCTGGGCCCGGTTTCCCAAAAGCATCCTAAGGCTAAAGGCAAAACGGACGAGTGTGCTCGCATACTGCCTTAATTTAAGACCATCGCTTGAAAAACGAGAAAGAAGCGGCAATAGTACTTTTGTCCATATTGGACGCCGTAGTCAAATACACTTCCTCAAAGTAGTTTGAATTAAACGAAGGATGCGGTCGTATAGTCACTCTGGCTATCTAAAGTTATTCCGATTTCAGAGCACTATCGTTTGAGTGCCAGAGCGCAGAATAACTGATTAATTAACGAATGTGCAACACCCGTTGAATATGACCTGTGTCAGTAAATGTCGAGAGAAAATACGTGATTTAAATTGTTGCCAGCAGCACAGTTAGTCACCAAAGCTCTAGATAACATAAACAGCCTAACCAGCTCTACTATGACAGGTAAATGGTCAGTGAGGTGTTCTCTCATTTGTGTCTTGAAGTAACTAGCCAACTTTAGCCAGCTAGCTTGGGTACTTGACTGCCATTGTGAGGTCAGAACGCTCTGATCAACCCTACTCCTTGGCAAGAGCGTCCAGTGTGCGCTCTCGAAACGCTCTGAATTTACCAATGACAATTGGACAATGCTCTGAATTTACCAATGCCGAGAGCGCACTCTGGTACTCCAGAGTGAATTTGTGAGCACACCCTAAGATGTTTGGTGCAGTATTTTGGCTCCGAACTTAGGCTTGCCTCAAATGTGGGGTATGCACGACCACTTGAAATAACACTTGCGGAACACCAAAATGAACAAAAACGTTAAATGTTGTCATAATATATCCATGAACTGATGAGAAGCATGCGCGGACGCCTTTAAGTACATCGCTAGAACCATTGCGCTCAATGGTTCTAACGACATACTTAACATTAAGAAGCTTTTGGGAAACCAAAAGCTAGCTAGTTTTAAACACAGATTATCCATTATATTGACCAGATACTCAAATGGCTTATATAAAAATGGAAATAACTATTTTCAAAAATGGAAGGCAGTCAGGAGGCAAGATCAGGTGGTACCATTCTAGCCAATGAGAGTGCAGGTACATGTGTACAACAGGCACAACTCCTATATAGTGTTTTTTCCCCTCAAAGGTTCTGGGATATCACGTGGCCTAATTATATCAGTACACTCCTAACAACTTACGCATTATGAAACTTCTAGTTGATCAAATAAGCCGCACATAGCAAATAAGACCCATGTGGCTCAGTTGGTAGAGCATGGCGCTTGCAACACCAGTGTGGTGGGTTTGATTCCCACGGGACCAGTACGGGGAAAAATTGAACCTGCTGGAGAAAGATTTTGAGCCCAGTTATCCCTCTCGCTTCGCTTCTTCCTGTTTTAAACAACCTAGCACCAAAGACAGTACAGTATGAAGATGGGCAGAAACTGCTTCTTCAATAGAAATCCCAGATCACACTTGTAGGCGAGGTCATGGCGATGTTGGCTAGCTAAGCTCATGCGCAGAAACATGTCGTTGGGTCTGACGGTCGTCACGCACGCCAAAATACGCATGTGCAGGCCATCAAATCAAAGGCACTCCTTCGATATAACGTTTTTTTTGACGAATGAAAATGTCAGTTTGTCACTCACGAGGTTGGTGTAATAACATGTTCAACTACTTAAGACATTGGCTGGTTGTGCCTTTTAGATTTCGAGCAAATTAACAAAGGAATACGTTTTCACTTTTCTCATTGACTTCTCAAACCCCAGCTTGGTCTGTTTCTCAAATGTTCCCGGAAGTCTCGCAATGCTGCGCCTCTGGGTTTAGAAACACTGTGCTAGCATGTTAGATACTTGAACGAAACCATCTGGGGTGTGTTCATAATGCCGATTCTGTTGCAAAACGTTTTGCACCAGAAAACATTTACTCCAAACTGAGTTTCTATTGGACAAATTTGGGTAGGTCCCTCCCTGTTCCATTTGGTTCTTAAACGGTAAACAGCTTCCGTTGCAAGGCGTAATGAATACACCCCTGGTGTCGTCTTTCAGTATTTATCAAGTAGTTTGGAATAACGTTAGCCCCTCTGCAATGTCTTGACAGAAGAAGCAGGTCGTCAAAAAGACCAAAACAGGTGGCAAGAAGAAGAAGCAGGTCCTGAAGTTCACCCTGGACTGCACTCACCCAGTGGAGGATGGCATCATGGATGCTGCCAACTTTGTAAGTAGCAGATGTTAGAGAAAATAACATGCAATATCCTAGGGCTGGGAATTGCCGCGAAGTTCACGATATGATATTATCGCAATACTTAAATGCAGATACCATATTATTACGATTCTATATGTATTGCTATTCTATACTATTATTGCGAGGGATGTTCCAAACATATTGCTCACTATATATCATGAGAAAATGAGTTTTGATCATTCATGGAAATAATTGCTGAAAACATGTTGGCTCCCTATTTTAAAAAGATGGAGAACAATACTGGAGTTTTGGAACAGGCACAGCTGATGTTTAATGAGCATTAATTATTCAACAGCAGTCAAGGTTGTTCTGGCTCTGAGGCCTATAATGCGCTAATGTTATGTTAAGTGGACCATACAGAATATTTTCTTAATTTATAGACTAATCAACGCTGATTTTACGGGGGTGTGCGTGTGAGTTCGCTGATTCTCTCTATTGGCCTATATGTCCATTCAGAAAGTTTCCTAAAGTAGCCTGTCAGAACTCCAGGTCTTTAATAAGAATCAATCACTCCTGTCATGATTTAATCTTGTAAAAGGCCTATTTTCAGTAGCTTAGGCTACATTATTTCTCTCATTACGGCGTCTTCTCTTTGAAGAACCAACCCCGAACGGTTATGTCTGTGACTGTGTTCATTGGCCTGGCCAATTATCGTAACCTCAAATTCCAAGACTGGCACAGCCCTAATTGTAATGTTATTTTTGGTGTTGATGAGATACTCTGCAGAAAGTAATTAGCCTAGGCACAGAAGAGACTGAGTGAGCTTCCTGCTAGCCAGCTGCACAGAAAGATGGATGGGACACATTTCCAATTCACTGGTATTTAGCTATGTTTTTATCGATTGTAGGGCTGTAGCCAACTGAAATCTGGTCGTCTTTACTTGAAAGAATAAAACCCTTAAAATCAAAATGTGCCACTAGCACAATACAGCTAATGCTGCACAGCACTGCATCTCGCCCGGCTTGTAGCCTCAGCGAACGGTGTGGGGCACTACCACACAGCTAGCAAGCTAGCACTCGTCGTGGAAATGGGGGTTGTGAAACATGAATTTGGACCAATCCCCGACAACCCATACATCATTTTTGTCTCTGAAAACATTTGAATGACAGTAGTGATTAAAAACATATTACTTTATATTTCCGTCAAAAGGTGTCAGATGACTGAAACACCTTCAGGACTTTCCCATACTTCTTGGAAAGACAATGTTACATTGATATTACTGTGATATGTTGAGGAATACTCATTGCAAAGAGCAAATATGAAAACAGATTTAGCAGGTTTCACAAAAAGGGCTGTCCCACAGATCTGAACGTTCTTAGCACGGCACTTGCTTTACATTTAGGCTCATATTGTGTAAATGTAATGCACAGTATTGGGATTATTAGACATGGGTAACAACTGCCACATTAATGTTTTCAAATGATTTATGTATTTTGACGACCACATTATTGACATTTATTGAAAACAGATTTGTTTACTGTTATTTGGGGTAGAATTCTCGCATAGCGGCCATTGTTTGTCGCGTCAACCTAACACCCTAATAATATTGGCCAAAATACTATTGCGATATTTAACTATCGATTGTTTTATTCGTAATTATTTTTTTATTACTTCAATATCCTATTAAATATGTCCTACTTTATAGAGAAGGGCCATATTACCTATTTCAATGTACAGTTGAAGTCGGAAGTTTACATACACCTTAGCCAAATACATTTAAAACTTAGTTTTTCACAATTCCTGACATTTAATCCTAGTACAAATTCCCTGTCTTAGGTCCGTTAGGATCACCACTTTATTTTCAGAATGTGAAATGTCAGAATAATAGAGAGAATGATTTATTTCAGCTTTTATTTATTTCATCACATTCCCAGTGGGTCAGAAGTTTACATACGCTCAATTAGTATTTGGTAGCATTGCCTTTAAATTGTTTAACTTGGGTCAAACGTTTCGGGTAGCATTCCACAAGCTTCCCACAATAAGTTGGGTGAATTTTGGCCCATTCCTCCTGACAGAGCTGGTGTAACTGAGTCAGGTTTGTAGGCCTCCTTGCTCGCACACGCTTTTTCAGTTCTGCCCACAAATGTTCTATAGGATTGAGGTCAGGTCTTTGTGATGGCCACTCCAATACCTTGACTTTGTTGTCCTTAAGCCATTTTGCCACAACTTTGGAAGTATGCTTGGGGTCATTGTCCATTTGGAAGACCCATTTGCGACCAAGCTTTAACTTCCTGACTGATGTCTTGAGATGTTGCTTCAATATATCCACATCATTTTCCTTCCTCATGATGCCATCTATTTTGTGAAGTGAACCAGTCCCTCCTGCAGCAAAGCACCCCCACAGCATGATGCTGCCACCCCCGTGCTTCACGGTTGGGATGGTGTTCTTCGGCTTGCAAGCCGCCCCCTTTTTCCTCCAAACATAATGATCATTATGGCCAAACAGTTCTATTTTTGTTTCATCAGACCAGAGGACATTTCTCCAAAAAGTACGATCTTTGGCCCCATGTGCAGTTGCAAACCGTAGTCTGGTTTTTTTATTGGGGTTTTGGAGCAGTGGCTTCTTCCTTGCTGAGCGGCCTTTCAGGTTATGTCGATTTAGGACTCGTTTTACTGTGGATATAAATACTTTTGTACCTGTTTCCTCCAGCATCTTCACAAGGTCCTTTGCTGTTGTTCTGGGATTGATTTGCACTTTTCGCACCAAAGTGCGTTCATCTCTAGGAGACAGAACGCGTCTCCTTCCTGAGCGGTATGACAGCTGCGTGGTCCCATGTTGTTTATACTTGCGTACTATTGTTTGTACAGATGAAGATGGTACATTCAGTCGTTTGGAAATTGCTCCCAAGAATGAACCAGACTTGTGGAGGTCTACAATTTTTTTTCTGATGTCTTGGCTGATTTATTTTCATTTCCCCATGATGTCAAGCAAAGAGGCACTGAGTTTGAAGGTAGGCCTTGAAATACATCCACATGTACACCTCCAATTGACTCAAATAATGTCAATTAGCCTATTTGAAGCTTCGAAAGCCATTACATCATTTTCTGGAGTTTTCCAAGCTGTTTAAAGGCACAGTCAACTTAGTGTATGTAAACTTCTGACCCACTGGAATTGTGATACAGTGAATTATAAGTTAAATAATCTGTCTGTAAACAATTATTGGAAAAATTACTTGTGTCATGCACAAAGTAGATGTCCTAACCGAATGTGTGGAGTGATTGAAAAACAAGTTTTAATGACTCCAACCTAAGTGTATGTAAACTTCCGACTTCAACTGTACACATTGCATGGTACATGATTCATAACCCAGATGTCCTGGTTTATCCACATTATGCTGATACTGGGCTGTCTTCAATGTAGTAACGTTACAACTGTAATGGGTAGTGTGGTTCAGACTAGGGGTATGATATTTAGCAGTTGGTGTGTCGCATTGTAGACGATTAGGATTCAGATTGGTGCTGAGCGATTTAGTGCTTTTTGAAGTTGGTTTCAGTTCGGTTATTAATGGGAGGTCTACAATTTTTTTTCTGATGTCTTGGCTGATTTATTTTCAATTATTTATTCACTTTAATTAAATTATATTATTACTTTATTTAATTCCAAGTTATCTCATCTCTATAGTGCTCCTGCCTATGCTGTCTGACAAAATCACTATTTTAGTAATTAATTAATATGCCATTTAGCAGATGCTTTTATCCAAAGCGACTTAGTCATGCGTGCATTAGTAGTTCTATATAGTAAATAAGGCATACTTTTATGAGTGCTGAATACCAACTATCAATCACTTAGATCATTTACATTTTAGTCATTTAGCAGACGTGACTTACAGTTAGTGAGTGCATACATTTTCATACTGGCCCCCCATGGGAAACGAACCCATGCTCTACCAACTGAGCTACAGGGGACTACATGTATGTTCACGCTCGCGAAGTAACTGCTTTCTATCCCTCTCGATCTGTGTTCACTCTTCGCTGTCTGCTTCGCACAGACCAGACAAGTTTAAGCGGGCACACAATGGATTATGGTTATTGTAGTTAATTACCACGTTTTCTACACTAAACTATGTAGAATATTTGCCTACTACAGTTGCACTGTTCAGGCTTCATCTGATTTATCTCTACAGAAACTGCGCATCGAGCTCACAGAAAAAAAACTAACAAAGTGGAATTCAAATAATTGAACCGACGTCAGTCAATTAGTTGTTTAAAGACAGAAAAATAACACATTTCGGTTAATCGCTCAACCCTAATTCAGAAAAAAGGGAATTAGTAAATGAAGTCGTATCCTGAAAGTTGCAATGACACTTGTCTTTTCTTACTAGCATTGATTTTGCTGATAGCTGCTTTGAGGAACTTTTAGATACTATGACTGATATGTGGTTGTCGTACCTAACTACCTTAAGTTAAAGGCATTAACTGTAAATTCCTTTTTATTAGAGCGTCTACTAAATGTTTAACATGTACATTTATATTGACGGAATATTTGCAGCAGGATGTAGCATTCATTACAGCTTTGGTCTTGTTGGTTAGGAGCAATTCCTGCAGGAGCGCATCAAGGTCAACGGTAAAGCTGGGAACCTGGGTGGTGGTGTGGTGTCCATTGAGAGGAGCAAGAGCAAAATCGCTGTGAATTCTGAGGTGCCCTTCTCCAAAAGGTATGTTTGAATCAAATCTTGATTTAGCTTATGAATTGCCCAGCTTGCAATGTGATGTGCCGAGCAACATAATTTGCCATTTTGTGTTGTCTGATGGTGGGACTTGGTTTGTCTCCACAGTTATGCATGTAAGGGGTATTGCATTTTCACCTGTTCAATTAGGAAGGTGGATCTGTCTTTTGCTCTAAGTTGTGTGATGTGTTTGCCATGTTGCTTCTTGTTAAGCCTCTTGGCACTGTTTTGTAATCGATGTTAGGCCTTTATTGTTTTAGTTGTTTTGCCTGATGGACAGTCTGGGGCAAATCCATGTATCATTCATTATTTGAAGCACTCTTAAAGTGAAGTGTTTGAAATAAGGTCTGAGGCTCATAAAATACTATTATTAGGGGGACTGAGATGTACATGAATAGAAAAAGTTAAGAGACATGGATAGAACGCATGTTATTTTTGGACTTCAGTCAGCTTTATTGATGCTGTGATCTGATCAATGTCTCCAGCAGTGAACATGATTTTCATCTGTCGTTTAAAAAAAAATGTTGTCACCATGTATCCTCAGACATTCATTGATTCTTAAGTACCTTCTGAAGCTATATTTAGGCCTATATGGCAGGAAATTATAGAACACTAGCAACCCCCCCCCCCCCCCCCACCTGGTAAATAATTTGACATTTATACTAATAATAATGGATTTATTTTATATCGTGCTTTTCATTACAAGAACAATCTCAAAGTTGCTTTAAAAACAAATTTGGGGATCTGGCAGTACTTGGGCAATGGTCTTCCACATCCTCAGATGATAGGCAGTTCGGAAAGGTATCTTGAGCGGAGGGAGCATTGATGGTACAGCCAGGCAGGGTGGTAGAAACATCTGACAGGCCCCGGAGCTCTTCATTGGGCACCTGGTCGTCGCCTACGTTCACAGCTCCTCCTCCTTTGGTAGGGTCAATCGTCCACAACTGAAGTGTAGCACCCACCTGGGTGATGCTTAGGCGACTCTAAAAGCGCCAGTAAGACCACCACACCTCAGTAATAATCTGAAACAGTCCCCATATGAGGCAAACCTCTGTATCCTCTCACCGCAGTCCACGTTCCAAATGCTTTTGGTGTCTGAATATGCTGCTAATATTCTCAACAACAAATCATGGCACTTGTTTTGAATCAAATTTCCCCCTCCAGTGTGGGTTGACTTATGTTTCAGATCCTATATTTTAGGCCTAGCGGTTATTTGAGTCATTATTATCCTTACTTTTTTGCAGATTTCCTTTTTTTATGTATTCTTTCTAATAACGATAAGTAGAAACTGGAGGGAAAAAAGACAGAAGATCACATACACAAAACCACAGATCCTTTAAAATGACTAGTTCTAATATCTAATTCTATTGTTTCATCATTGAGGTTTTACCAAAAGCATTGTGATGCGTCCAAAATAAACAAATGCATTACACAGTGGAATATAAAGTGGCCAGTGGCATGTCCCCGGATGTCATGCTTCTTTTGAGCCTAAAAAGAAGAAAATAAGCACAATTGTAGGAGCAGATCCCGCTGTAGGGATCTTATAATAAAGATGGTTGCAGTACAGGCAGGGAAGCAAACCGGGCTCTTTAAAACAAGCCTTTTTACATCAGTACCCTCTACATCTGGGATGGGCAACTTTAATGGGGGTGGGGGCCACAAAATCTGAACATCATCATCATGAGGGGCTGCAGTGGCTCATGGGTCTGCGTACCCACCCATGCAGTCAGAGCTGGCCCTAGCCTTTTGGGGGCCCAAGTGAAATTTTGTTGTGGCCCAGCACGTTTTAGAGTTAATTTCCTGCAATTCCAAAAATGTTGCCATGGGGTGTAGAGAACATTTGGCAGTTTTAAAGCAAGTTTGCTGCAATTCTACACATTTTGCCATGGGATGGAGAGAAATGTTTGCAGTTTTTAATATGATATGAGTGCGAGTGACTAACAAATGCAATGGGTGCCCCCCGGTCGGTAATTCGACCATGATTGCTACGAGTTTAGATAGCTGACTAGACTACTTTACCAATCTAAAAAATGTTAGCTGACATGGGCTAATTGAGTGACTGTCAGTGAGTACATTTACATACACACAAATAATTCAAAATTAAGCTGGTTATGGCAATAGTCATGTAAACACCTTACTCATAATCAAAGTAAGCATACGCCGGTGAAAAAACACCTGGTTTTCTGAGCAATCTTTCAAATTATTAGGACATGTGAACGCCTTAATCAGTTATAGCGGTGTATTTGAACTGCGCATGTGCTAGCATGAGCAGCGCAAGCTTCTTTCTTTTGCGGGAGTGAAGTGAGTTCGGAACAACTGAAAGTATGCATCATATAAATAGTTTTCATATAGAAACTTATGTCCAAACTCAGAATCAAATATGCTTCACAAAAATAAGATGGTCGCTGTGGTAGAACCTTTTTATTTTGATTGGCAATTTTCTGCATTTATCAAAGTCCCATCAGGTAGCCCAATTTCAGATGTGTCCATGTAAACATGATTATTAGGGAAATCGTTCATCTTGCAAAGCAAGGTTTAAATCGGAACTATTATATTAATGTATTCACAATCGTATTATTGTGTGCATATAACCAAACTCAGTGACTGACATAACAGGAGAAACCGCTAATGTACAACAACATTTCAAAATTGCAGCTTATGTATTCTACTATTCTAACTCAACAGTAAATTGACTGAGTTTCTAAATATATATTTCGTTTTTGGAAATTGATCCACGGGCCGCCAGTTGCCCATCCCTGCTCTACATACATCCCTGTATGTATAGTGTCTCTGATATGGATAGGTTCAGTACTTTGGACTAACAGATTGTTTGTTGGTCAGCTCGGGCCCAGATTATTTACAGTTGTGAGACGTGAATGCCTTTTGTGGCTAGCATTAATGCAAGGTGACTTGTACATCTTGATTTAATGGGGGTCAGGGTTCAAATTATACGTTGACTCTTGGCTAGCCCCGAAGTGTTTTTGGGGTGCCCGACGTCCATCTTTGACAATTGTCGGGGGGGCTCACATTGATATTTCAATTGTGAAGAGAGAGCCATGATTTGTTATGGGGGTGCCAAGCCCTGCTGTATGTGAACCCTGATGGGGGTGCAAATTGTTTAGGAAATTGTAGATAGAAAAGTTAAACATGGAGTTGATTCAATGTTCTGCAAGTCATTTTGTCTGTTTATCTAATTGAACATTCTGTAATGTTGCACCCTCCTGAATAAACCCCAGGCCTCGCATGATAAGTTCTCAAAATGTAAATCGAACAAATTTACAGTACACCTTTGTCACAATGTAATCTTCAATGGGGTTTACGTTGCTGACACTGCTGGTCTTTCCTCTCCTTTCTGACAGGTATTTGAAATATCTGACCAAGAAGTACCTGAAGAAGAACAACCTGAGGGACTGGCTGCGTGTGGTGGCCAACACCAAGGAGAGTTACGAACTGCGCTACTTCCAGATCAACCAGGATGAGGAGGAGGAGGAGGACGAAGATTAAATCCATGCCACTGTCTTTTGTCAATAAAATTTCAAAAGAACAAAAGCTTCTCACATGGTTTTATTTGCTGATTTGGTACTAAACCTGCATTTTTGAAAATAATTGTACATACTCTTGCAATGAGCTGGTTAGACTTGAGAACCCATATTCTTTATAATGCAAATATATTTGTGCTCTGTGCTTACATGCAGTTGACCTGCGAAATATTGCAAGCAAGAAACTATTTGTTACAAAGGCCTTTCTACTTTGACAACACTCAACATTGAAACTGACAGTTGATTGCATTCGGTTTTAGTTATGTGTTCAATAGTGTGATAAGTTTATACATAAAAAATAATAATGTCTCTTTATCAATTAATGCTTCAAAATAGTAGTGTAGTAAGTGTTAGGTGCAATGACTTCTCGAATCTGCTTTTAGATAAATGACGGCTTCTAAAAATGACGTTTCCTTCGTTTTATGTGGTCCATCCATAGAGTGTATGGGCAAAGATGGTTTAAATAAAATGATGTAGAAGCTGCTTCTCCAATAGAAATCCCCGATCACGCTTGCAGGCGACGTTGGCTGGCTTAACTCATGCGCAAAAACACGTAATCGGGTCGAACTGTCTTTCGCGACGAACTGCGCATGTGTAGCCCGTCAGTCACTCCTTAGAAAATGAAAACGTATCAGATAGTCACTTTCACGAGGTTGGAGTAATAACATGTTAAGGTACTTAAGACATTGGGTCGAATCGATGTGACTTTTAGATTTCGAGAAAATTAACTAAGGAAGAATGTGTCACTACACTCCAGTGGCGGCTCCTGAACAAATTCTCAGGGAGGGCAATTTTTCTGATGATTTAGGTGACCTACACACATTTTTAAAAATATATGTCCAGCAACAACATGAAGACAGGGGCAGCATATAAGTCAATACCAGAAGCATTTATTGACTGATCTCAAAAGTGTTTGCTTACAAAAGCAAAATAAGTTATCACAGTAAAAATAATCAAGGGTGTTCTTTCACATTCCTCAACACTGCATAAACAATATGCATTTCCATAAACAAATGAAATATCAGCTGAAAATACAGCATCTTGGTATTTGTTCAGATTGCAGGATCAACAAGAGCTTTTACCACATTTTTTGATATCTGTTTAATCTTACCTTATGGCCTGCACTTGCTTGTGAAGCTGTCGAGGGCACGTTTGATAGAGACAGCATCGATGTCCTTCTTCTGTAGCTTCTGGTACAGAATGTCGACGTGGGGCATGATTTTGTGAAAAAGCCGCAGGAAAAAAATTAAATCTTCATCATGTAGTATCCTCACGTAGCCAGCTGCCTCTCTCAAGGTGTGCTGGTCAAATGAACCCAATGAACCCGTCCGGATGGCTTCAAAACATTATATGAGGTCGTCTCGATTCTCGTAGACAGTGTTCACGACTCTGCTGTTGCTAACCTCATCGTTGTGGCGGCGGACAGCTAGCCTGTATCCCTCATCCAGTTGAGTGGCAATATTCACTCTCCCAAAAGCAGACAATCTCAAACAGCTATATGTGGGTCTTTGACAGCTCATTTTTCTTAATCTTTTCTGAAAGATGGTGCATGTCGGTTACACCAGTCGCTGTCCAAGCGGTGCTGTCTGCTGTGCCGCCTTCAGGGTGGAAGAGTAAGCAGGGGTAGCAAAAAACTGCATTAGCTACATCGCAGCCTGCTAGCCAGGTTTTCCGTTCATACCAATTTTTGGAAAATCCTCGGGTGTAGGACTTCCCCCCTTTAGTAGACACCTGTTGAATTATTACATTTGGTCTGGGAGGTCCTAATTGTTTCGTTGCCAATTTATCTTCATTTGTTCGCCGACAAAAAGGAACTTCTTTCAAAGACACAATCGAGTTGGACTGAAGCCTAGCCATTTTGATAGTAGTAGTGAATTGATTGAGGCTGCTACCTGGTCTTTTCTTAGTTACGTTCATTCGTGGTTACGTTATGTATGACGAAAGCGCGTAAGTGCAAGCCCACAGACACCCATAGAGAATGTATTGAAAGCTTTGAAATGTGACAAAAATAGATTTTACATGGGAGTCTATGACAGACTTCTGGGCGATTTTCAACCTGACTGAAATCGCCCAAAAAACGGGCGGGGCCATTTGAAGCACGACTTTAGCCTGATTTGACATTTAGTGGCTGGCAGATCAGACGTGAACACTGATAACTGCTGTTGCCGTGATATAATTTTTTATAAATTTATAAAAAAAATATATATTTTTTTATTTAATTTTTTTAAATAATTGATTAGAAAAAAAATCCCTTCCTTTTCCCGTTTGGCAGTGCGTCGCCCATATCGCCCTATTGAACAAGCCGTCCCTGCTACACTCATTGATTTATCAAACTCTGGTCTGCCGAGTGCTGTACAAGCTTTCCCGGAAGTCTCGCGATGTTGGGCCTCTGGGTTTAGAAACTCTGTGGGATGATCGCAAGAGCGTCTTGTTCCGGCGGTGGTAACCTTGACAACTATTCAAGCAAGCGACTTTGCACAGGCTGCGCACTTGCCAATAAATGGGATTTCTTGTCAGTGAAAGGAAGTTTGTTGAATACAAGCCTTTGCTAAATACTTTCTAAAACCGAAAGGAAATGGCCTACTATACTTGAAATTGCCAATTCAACCAAGTCTACTGTAGGCTACAATAATGTCACGAACGAACGCCCTCTCTCTTTAATGTAGGCTAGCTGATTGGTTACTTTGTAATATTCGCACTTCTGCACACGTAGCCTACATCAATCAAGTTACAATATAGACAAAATGACCGCTACCTAAAACCGATATCATATTGGCAGGGAGAGGACTGTTGTCATTGTTATAATAGCCTACATTTCGTTAAACGACAATGTTGGCGGTTATTCAAACCCAGTTTGATTTAGATCGATTGTCTTACTGGATACATTACGTTGCATCAAATCTATTTGAAACGAAATGCAAAGTGGGGATTGAATCCCCCCACCCCCCATACCTTGGTGTAACCTCAATTTCTACGGGTTTGCTTGGGAAAATGGGCAAAGCGACAGGCTGGCGGTGCACACAGTGGCATTACTACTTGCAGCACTGCTCACGACTAGTAAAAGTGGTAACTAGAGGAGCATGCCTAACTAGTTATGGTGAAAATTATGGGATGGATTGTCATGGCAACAGACCAGACGTCACAATTTGGGCATGTGTTCCATTTTTGTCTTTCTTATTTTCAGACTGGAGGACTTGGATAGAGAAGAGTTGAAAAGGAAACAGATTTTCCCATACAAAAAGAGGGAAGCCATCTTTCTTCAAAATATAGAAATAAATTGTATTCACACAAGACACATACAATTATTTTCCGGGAGGCACGAAGAGTGGCATTTTCAGGGTTAACTTTCAGAGAGGGTTTTTGGTATGCGATAAAGATGCCTGGGTCGTTAAGCTATGAAGACGAGGGACAAGACGACATGGATTTTGAAGACGAGATACCAGGTGAGGGAATGAAGTAAGGGGAGGGGGAGTTTCTGCCCTGAAGATATTTTGCGCTGCTATACGCCTAGTTGAATGTGGGGGAAAGGGCTTGCCCTACGTTCTAGGAGGAAAGAGGAGGGGTGGGGTGCAGTAAGCATTCCAATTTATTATTTTAGTACTACCCGTTTTCCTCAGGGGCATAGGTTTGCACTTGTCACCACTGTTTCATCTTCAAATATGATATGGCCGAATGAAAAGCCGCCATCTGTGGTAACCTACTGAAATGACCCGGTCCGAGAAAAGGACAACCGCAGGCATCAGTGCATTCTTGTGAAAAAAATATGAAAACCACCCGAACTCCATTTTACTTTGACTGCGATCAACATAGATAGCCTACTAGATTTTTGTTATTAGAATTGGGCACATGCACAATTTTGTTGGTGCTGTTTTGAGGGTGCACCGTTTTATACTCTTACCATATAATGTTTTTGTATTGTTTCTGTATGAGGTCAGAAGTTGCACCGATCGATCACATGCTGTGACAGCTGAAAAAAAGGTATTCGTTATCTCTAAATTAATGTCAATATACGTCCCATCTCACCCAGGTGCTACTGCACCATTATCTAAATTGTGCAGCTGTGTCCCAATTGTTTTGAGGCTCTTGTCCAAAGTCAGCAGTGGCCGCGGAGGTGCTGGTCTGTGTCTCTGAAGCCACGTGTAACAGGAAAACAATGGTTCAGAGCAGGGGTCCCAAATTACATTCAGCCATGGGCAGATTTTTCCTTGAAAGGATGGTCGGGGGACCGGAACATAGTTGTAAATAATTTGTAAACTGCGAATTGACTCCAATAATTCCTAACAGTGCCTTCAGAAAGTATTCATACCCCATGATTTATTCCACGTTTTGTTGTGTTACAGCCTGCATTCAAAGTGGATTAAATATATATTTATTCTCACCCTTCTACACACAATGCCCCATAATGACAAAGTGAAAACATGTGTTTGCTAATTATTTAAAATTAAATACAGAAATATATAATTTACATAATTATTCACACCCCTGAGTCAACACTTTGTAGAAGCACCTTTTGCAGCGATTACAGTTTTGAGTCTTTCTGGGAAGTCTCTGAGCTTTCCACACCTGGATTCTTTGCCCATTATTCTTTTCAAAATTCTTCAAGCTCTGTCAAATTGGTTGTTGATCATTGCGTGACAACCATTTTCAGGTCTTGCCATAGATTTTCAAGTAGAATTAAGTCAAAACTGGAACTCGGCCACTCTGGATCATTCATGTCTTCTTGGTGAGCAACTCCAGTGTAGATTTGGCCTTGTGTTTTAGGTTATTGTCCTGCTGAAAGGTGAAATCATCTCCCAGTGTCTGGTGGAAAGCAGACTGAACCAGATTTTCCTCTAGGATTTTGCCTGTGCTTAGCTCAATTCAGTTAATGTTTTTTATCCTGAAAAACTCCACGGACCTTAACAATTACAAGCATAGCCATAACATGATGCAGCCACCACTATGCTTGAAAATATGGAGAGTGTTACTCAGTAATGTGTTTTATTGGATTTGCCCCAAACATAACACTTTTAATTCAGGACAAAAAGGTTTTGTTTTGCATTACTTTAGTTCCTTGTTGCAAACAGGATGCATGTTTTGGAATATTTGTATTCTGTACAGGTTTGCTTCTTTTCACTCTGTCAATTATGTTAGTATTGTAGAGTAACTATAATGTTGTTGATCCATCCTCAGTTTTCTCCTATCACAGCCATTAAACTCTTAACTGTTTTAAAGTCACCATTGGCCTCACGGTGAAATCCCTGAGCGGTTTCCTTCCTCTCCGGCAACTGAGTTAAGAAGAATGCCTGTATCTTTGTAGTGACTTTGATACACCATCCAAAGTGTAGTTAATAACTTCACCATGCTCAAATTGATATTCAATGTCTGCTTTTTATTTTTATTTTTTTACCCATCTACCAATAGGTGCCTTCTTTGTAAGGCATTGGAAAACCTCTCTGGTCTTTGTGGTTGAATCTATCTTTGAAATTCACTGCTCGGCTGTGGGACCTCACAGATAATTATATGTGTGGGGTACAGAGATAAGGTAGTCATTTAAAAATCATGTTAAACACTATTATTGCACACAGAGTGAGTCCATGCAACTTATTATTTGACTTGTTAAGCAAATGTTTACTTTACATAACAGGGTTGAATATGTATTGACTCAAGACATTTCAGCTTATCATTTATAATTAATTTGTAAACATTTTGAAAAACATAATTCCACTTTGACATTATGGGGTATTGTGTGTAGGCCAGTGACAAAAACTCTCAATTTAATCAATTTAAAATTCAGCTGTAATACAACAAAAATGTGGGAAAAAGTCAAGGGGTGGGAATACTTTTTGAAGGCACTATTTGAGAAAAACAATAATTTCAAACCTTGATTACATTGGGATGCTTCTCTATTTATGTGTGGGAATACTTGGGAACAGACTTCCCAAATTTAAATCACTATGAACTCATTTCCTGGTGATTTTACAGTCTTATATCCAAGAACGAAAATTATATAAAATTTTAAACGAAATGCAATCAATTGAATTTACCACAGGTGAACTCCAGTCAAGTTGTAGAAACATCTCAAGGATGATCAATGGAAACAGGATGTACCGGAGCTCAATTTCGAGTCTCATAGCAAAGGGTCTGAATACAGTTGCTCTAAACCAGGTTCCCCAATGGGCGGCCCGCGGGCAAAATTCAGCCTGCAGGTGAGAGATTAATTAAGTTAAGTTTAATTATATATATATATATAAATCTACACACTACCCCAAAATGACAAAGTAAAAACAGGTTTTTAGAAATGTTTGCCAATTAAAAAATAAAACCTTATTTACATAAGTATTCAGACCCTTTGCTATGAGACTCGAAATTGAGCTCAGGTACATCCTGTTTCCATTGATCATCCTTGAGATGTTTCTACAACTTGATTGAAGTCCACCTGTGTTAAAATCAATTGATTGGACATGATTTGGAAAGGCACACACCTGTCTATATAATGTCCCACAGTTGACAGTGCAGGTCTGAGCAAAAATCAAGCCATGAGGTCGAAGGAATTGTCCGTAGAGCTCCGAGAAAGGATTGTGTCGAGGCACAGATCTGGGGAAGGACACCAAAACATTTCTGCAGTATTGAAGGTCCCCAAGAACACAGTGGCCTCCATCATTCTTAAATGGAAGAAGTTTGGAACCTCCAAGACTCTTCCTAGAGCTGGCCGCCAGGCCAAACTGAGCAATCGGGGGAGAAGGGCCTTGGTCAGGGAGGTGACCAATAACCTGATGGTCACTCTGACAGAGCTCCGGAGTTCCTCCAGAAGGACAACCTTCCAGAAGGACAACCATCTCTGCAGCACTCCATCAATCAGGCCTTTATGGTAGCGTGGCCAGACAGAAGCCACTCCTCAGTAAAAGGAGTTTGCCAAAAGGCACCTAAAGAAACAAGATTCTCTGGTCTGATGAAATCAAGATTGAACTCTTTGGCCTGAATGCCAAGCTTCACGCCTGGAGGAAACTTGCCATTATCCCTACGGTGAAGCATGGTGGTGGCAGCATCATGCTGTTGGGATGTTTTTCAGAAGCAGGGACTGGGAGACTCGTCAGGATCGAGGGAAAGATTAACGCAGCAAAGTACAGAGAGATCATTGATGAAAATCTGCTCCAGAGTGCTCAGGACCTCAGACTAGGGCAAAGTTTCACCTTCCAACAGGACAACGACCCTAAGCACACAGCCAAGACAACGCAGGAGTGGCTTCGGGACAAGTTTCTGAATGTCCTTGAGTGGCCAAGGCAGAGCCCGGACTTGAATCTGATCGAACATCTCTGGAGAGACCTGAAAATAGCTGTGCAGCGACGCTCCCCATCCATCCTGACATAGCTTGAGAGGTTCTGCAGAGAAGAATGGGAGAAACTCCCCAAATACAGGTGTGCCAAGCTTGTAGCGTCATACCCAAGAAGACTCAAGGCTGTAATCACTGCCAAAGGTGTTTCAACAAAGTACTGAGGAAAGGGTCTGAATACTTATGTACATTTGATTTTTCAGTTTTTTTATTTATTTATTTATTGCAAAAATGTGTGTAGACTGATGATGAAAAAAAAAACTATTTAATAAATTTTAGAATAAGGCTGTAACGTAACAAAGTGGAAAAAGTCAAGGGGTCTGAATACTTTCCAAATGCACTGTAGTCATGGGTGTTATGGAGCAAACTGACTCACAAAATACTGTACTTTAAAATGATTTGTACAATTTAATAAAGAACAGCTTAGCTTTAATAGGAGGAGAGTTCTCTACAATTTCAGCACACAGTCTGCTAGCCACAACCTGAGGGATAACACAATCACTGATGCATGTCCCCAATAACCAAAGACTTGTGGTTTAAAAAGGAAGGGTAAATGCATGCAATTGGCTATGAAAATGTGTAATTAAATAAATCCTTCTTGTTATGTTTAAGTTGATTCTTCATACATTTTATATACACTACCAGTCAAAAGTTTGGACACCTACTCATTCAAGGGTTTTTCTTTATTTTTTACATTGTAGAAGAATGGTGAAGACATCAAAACTATGAAATAACACATATGGAATCATGTAGTAACCAAAAACGTGTTAAACAAATCAAAATATTTTTTAGATTTTAGATTTTTCAAATAGCCACCCTTTGCCTTGATGACAGCTTTGCACACTCTTGGCATTGTCTCAACCAGCTTCATGAGATAGTCACCTGGAATGGATTTCAGTTAACAGGTGTGCCTTCTTAAAAGTTAATTTGTGGAATTCCTTTCCTTAATCCATTTCAGCCAATCAGTTGTGTTGTGACAAGGTAGGGGGGTATACAGAAGATAGCCCTATTTGGTAAAAGACCAAGTCCATATAATGGCAAGAACAGCTCAAATAAGCAAAGAGAAACAACAGTCCATCATTAATTTAAGACATGAAGGTCAGTCAATACGGAACATTTTAAGAACTTTGAAAGTTTCTTCAAGTGCAGTCGCAAAAACAATCAAGCGCTATGATGAAACTGGCTCTCATGAGGACCGCCACAGGAATGGAAGACCCAGAGTTACCTCTGCTGCAGAGGATAAGTTCATTAGAGTTAACAGCCTCAGAAATTGCAGCCCAAATAAATGTTTCACAGAGTTTAAGCAACAGACACATCTCAACATCAACTGTTCAGAGGAGACCGTGTGAATCAGGCCTTCATGGTCAAATTGCTGCAAAGAAACCACTACTAAAGGACACCAATAAGAAGAAGAGACTTGCTTGGGCCAAGAAACACGATCAATGGACATTAGAATGGTGGAAATTTGTCCTTTGGTCTGGAGTCCAAATGTGAGATTTTTGTCTTTGTGAGATGCTGTGTGGGTGAACGGATGATCTCCGCATGTGTATTTCCCACCGTAAAGCATGGAGGAGGAGGTGTTATGGTGTGGGGGTGCTTTGCTGGTGACACTGTCTGTGATTTATTTAGAATTCAAGGCACACTTAACCAGCATGGCTACCACAGCATTCTGCAGTGATACGCCATCCCATCTGGTTTGGCCTTAGTGGGACTATAATTTGTTTTTCAACAGGACATTGACCCAATACACCTCCAGGCTGTGTAAGGGCTTTTTTACCAAGAAGGAGAGTGATGGAGTGCTGCATCAGATTACCTGTCCTCCACAATCCCCCGACCTCAACCCAACTGAGATGGTTTGAGATGAGTCGGACGGCAGAGTGAAGGAAAAGCAGCCAACAAGTGCTCAGGATATGTGGGAACTCCTTCAAGACTGTTGGAAAAGCATTCCAGGTGAAGCTGGTTGAGAGAAGGCCAAGAGTGTGCATAGCTGTCATCAAGGCAAAGGGTGGCTATTTGAAGAATCTAAAATATAAAATATATTTTGATTTGTTTAACACTTTTTTGGTTACTAAATGATTCTATATGTGTTATTTCATAGTTTTGATGTCTTCACTATTATTCTACAATGTAGAAAATAGTAAAAATAAAGAAAAACCCTGGAATGAGTAGGTGTGTTCAAACGTTTGACTGGTACTGTATTTTCCCCCAGTGTATAAATCAGTTTTGTTCTACACTTAGTGAAAAAAACATTAGAAACACCTTCCTAATATTGAGTTGAACACCCTTTTGTCATCAGAACAGCCTCAATTCGTTGGGGCATGGACTCTACAAGGTGTCGAAAGTGTTCAACAGGGATGCTGGCCCATGTTGACTCCAATGCTTTTCACAGTTGTTTCAAGTTGGCTGGATGTCCTTTGTGTGGTGGACCATTCTAGATACACATTGGAAACTGTTGAGTGTGAAAAACCCAGCAGCGTTGCAGTTCTGGACACTCTCAAACCGGTGCACCTGGCACCTACTACCATACCCCATTCAAAGGCACTTAAATCTTTTGTCTTGCCCATTTACCCTCTGAATGCACACACACAATCAATGTCTCAAGGCTTGAAAATCCTTAATCAACCTGTCTCCTCCCCTTCATCTACACTGATTGAAGTGGATCAATAAGTGACATCAATAAGGGATCATAGATTTGACCTGGTCAGTCTATGTCATGGAAACAGCAGGTGTATAATTGTGCATGCAGCATGTTAACCGTGCATGATGCTTTCATGTGTGTTTTTCATATAGACCCAGCCAGGCTTGACAGTAGTCTAATGAACTTCAGGATTGGCAGGGGCCCTTCACAAGCCATGGAGGGAGAGCTGAGGACCGACAGTACAGTAGCTTCCACTGTTAGCTGTCACAGCCATACAATCATCACTCACTGTCTCAAATCATTCAGTTGTCCTTCCCGTTGTCTAATTTTTTGTCATGTCACTAGCACAGTCCCTGTGTCTCAGTTTTACATGTTGCTACTGCATCTCTTTTTTATGGTGTGGTCCTTCTCTGAAATTTAAAGATTATCATGGGCTTTTATGTGCCTACTAAAGTCATCCCTGATTGGTGGGGGCTATTTTTGGAGACTCCACTGTGAAAGCTGACACCGTTTTTGGTCCAACCTTGTGTGTATGTGACGTGTGTGTGATGCTTGCCCAAGTATATGTGTGTTTTACATGGGCAAGCATCACCTTTTACACTTGTCACCACTACATTTGTGTTCAACTGCACATGTATGTTCTAATTACACTTTCATAATATACTACTACCATATAATTTTTATGGTGCGTGAGCAAGAATAGCAAACTTCAAAGGAACTCTAATGTTGTAATGTTACATCTGCCACCACCAGGCTCCTACTGACTTGCCCTGAATTGACCCACAGTACATAGCTAGCTCACTCACACACCATCACTCTCTACCCTTAGATCTACACTGCCCTGCCACCATTTATTATCACTAACTTCCAAGACCCAGGAGCAGGGAAGTGAGTTCACAGTCAATGACTACTGCTCAGACTCCTACTCTTGCTCTGCACAGATTTGCAAGAAGATGGCTTACTGAGTATCATGAAGTCATACAGTCTGCTACACTATGACATCATATCCGCTACTAGATTGACCAAACTTTGGAGTAAATGTGTGTGAGTTCGCTTTTGTATTTCCCAAGACATGACTAGAGTGGGCTAGAAACACCTTCTCAATGAGGGGAGAACCCTGAAGTCAATCGCTCTCCACAGGGCAACATTAACTGGGTATTTCCATAAGGAGCCTGTCAAAGACAGAGGCCCAATGCGTTTTCCGGCACTCATGGTCCTCTGTAGCTCAGCTGGTAGAGCACGGCGCTTGTAACGCCAAGGTAGTGGGTTCGATCCCCGGGACCACCCATACACACAAAAAAAAAATGTATGCACGCATGACTGTAAGTCGCTTTGGATAAAAGCGTCTGCTAAATGGCATATTATATATTATTATTATATTATATTAACTTTCCACGAGGGAGAGGGTCATGAATCTCCCCTCTAATGGAACGGTCCAGTGGCCAAGCCCTTGCAGGAAGTTCAGAGCGGTGCTGCCTGCCCACCGTCCACGCTTTAAAGTGGGCACAGTGTGCGAAGTGGGGCTGCGGCCTGGTTCAAACAAGAAGTCTGTGGTTCAAACAGGGCCTGGTGCCAGCTGCCCTGTGACACATGCCACATTGATCCCCCTCAACACCTGGCACAGTCAGATCCGCACAGCCAGCCACCAGGCTGGTTACCAGGCAGCCACCTCTGGAAGACATCACAGAGCATTTAGAACAATAGCTGCCAGAATGCCAGAGGCTCCTCTCTGGGATCACACATTTAGATGTGGTGCCTTACATACATTCCATGTGCAGACATCATGTGTTTATCTCAATTACATTTATACAAGTGGCCATTTCTGGTCAACTTGGTGGTAGATAATGGTGGGTGTCACATATCAGCAAGGAGGAGAATTATATCATTTTCTTGAGCCGGTAACAGACAATTTTTTCTTTCTCAACCTGCCTGTATTTCAACTGCATTTCTTCTCCTCATCTCAGTCAATTGCATCATCAGTGCATTTGAATGAACTGTAACATTAGCTGAGTTGTCGTGATAATGACATGCCTGGCAGGCAGCAAACATGTACAGTAGCTCAGACATGAAAGAGCTCCCATGAGATACTGCAGACATGTTGGCCTATTAACTATAGCGCTTGAGGCACTAGCACCATTATGCATGTGTATGATAGAGCCTCAATCTACACAAGTGGGAAGATGCATCCAGTTTAGTCAGTGGTGAATGGGAATGTATAGATAGACAATTATATGGGTCTCTCATTGATAATGAACCTTGGAAGCCCCTAGTCTGTGTGGCCCCTCCTGACTAGCCTGGCTAAATGGAGGATAAGTTGATTGCAAGCCAAGGTTTGTGCTTAAGAGACAGGGAACCCCTCCTCCCTACTCAGTGTTCCTCTGGGAGTGGTAGGCTGCTGAATGACTCTAATACACTGGCTGCATATTTCATGCCCTCCAGTCTGTGTGTTTGTGTATGAGGAGTGTGTCTCTTTATAGTGATGTACTGTCTACCGTCTGTCTTACTCCTCTGTGACCCACTGTGTCCACACTGAAGTCTGGCACGCCGTAGTACACCGTAGTCAGCATGCTTCTATGTATACAACAACATTGAGACAATACAGTTGATGGATGACTACAACCCCACTTTGAGTTTTACCTGGCTGACAGGATATAAGCTAAAAGGGGAGGATGGATAGGTGATGATGACTACCAGAAGCCCTATCTTACAGTAAGAGTAAAAGTTGTGTATACGTGTATCATGTTGTTCTGAAGGCCATGTTTGTGTTTGTGTGTCAAGTTGAGGATGAGGAGGGTGAACGCAACACTGTCCCGCTCACACCTCTGGACAGCTTCTTCTCTGATGACGACTCCCTCAAACAACAGAAGAAGAAGAAACCTAAAAAGATGGAGGGCAAGATGCCCAAAGTCAAGAAGAGGAAAAAGGAGGTAAGCTCTATCAGACTACAAACATTTTGTGCACAATAACACACAACCTGTAAGAAGCTACAGTAGATGTTGTGCCATAAACTGTAGTAGTCCCTTGAGCAGCCATTCATATTGGCTAGGATTTAACTACAATTCAATAGTCTTTGTTTCTTGGACTATCCTCGAATCTCAACGAGAAACAGTAGAGTGTCTTTGGTTTAGGGCCATGAGTGCCAGTGTAAGCTGTGGGCTTTGAGTGCCAGTGTAGACTGTGGATCAGGAGGAGTGCCTGTGCCTGTGGTAGTCAACATGGACGGTAGGTTAGGAGTGCTAGAGCGTGTGCCAGTGGGTGCCAGTAACAGTGTTGTAACAGAGCTGTTCTGACAGCTGAACTCTCCCAGGCATTAGTTCCTGACATTCAGGCAACAGGCTTTAAACAGCAGCACTGAGCTGGGACTCTCAATAGACTACACCACAACCATTATATCAAAACAGACATCAAACAACTCCTGAATTGTATTAGTTTCCATGGCTGCTCCTTAGATTATTGGCTAATTGAGGTTAACCACTAAGTGTGCCTTGAAAAATATCATAGTAGAGTCAGGGGAAAGTGTTTGGTGTAACACGGTTACAGTGAGCCAGGGGAAAGTGTTTGGCGTAACACAGTGACGGTGAGCCAGGAGAAAGTGTTTGGGGAAACACAGTGACAGTGAGCCAGGAGAAAGTGTTTGGGGAAACACACCCACATGAAATAATACTACAGTTTACTATAGAATACTACAGTACTTACTATAAAAATATGTAGTAAACTAAACTGTAGTATATTGTAGAATACTATACTACACACTGTAGTATCCCTCGATGTAGTACTTACTATAGCATTTTGTAGTATACTGTAGAATACTATAAACACTACAGTATTATCCCCCCAAAAACACTGCAGTAAATACTACAGTATACGACAGTCCACAAAAACACTACAGTAAATACTATAGTATATACAACAGTATGCTACAGTAAATACTACAGTATTCACTCTAACGTGACTTAAATCCGCAAAAACACTACAGTGACAACTATAGTATTTATACCATAGTATACTATAGTATTTTCTTATGTGGTTTTCCCTCTGTCATTTGAGGGCCTTGCCCTTTATACAGTTTGTGTTGGCTTTGTGTTGCCTGTTGCTCATCTGTGTGTCCTCTGCCTGGGTTTGGGATTGACCAGTGTTCTGAATAGTGGCGGTGACAGAGCGGGGATGTCCCTGTCCACGGCTGCCAGCGGCACTAGAAGGAGCTCTGGTGGCCCTTTGGCTGGCCGCGAAAAACACAGAGCACTGGACCCTGTCATGCTAATGAGGGGTCCCCCCTCTCTTTCCCCTCTGTCACACTCTCTCTTTCTCTCAATCACTCTCTTACCATGCTCAGTTCACAAGCTCTGCTCGACAGTACACTGTACATGTTCATAGGGCAGCACTCCCTGCTAAGGGAAACCACGACTAGCTGTTATTCACTTAAAATCTCTCCCCAAAGTCTAGTGTCAGACATGGGTCACGGATCAATGGAGGTTACATCCCCACCAGTGGGCCTCTCTCCCCCCAGGTCAGTCTCAGAGCTGAGGGAAGGAGCCAGCTGTGCTCAGACTCCCTCCAGCAGGGCCCGAGCACGCCACAGGAGAGCTGTTAGTACTGATGACTGGCTAGATCTGTTTTAAGGAGAGAAATCCCTTTAGGGGACTGTGCATGTTGATAGTAAGCAGTGTTTTTTTCACACTGTATAATTGTAAGGCTTGGGGTGTTTAAGGTATCGTGAGGATACGTTTGTATATTCAACCTGACATTTATTTCTGACATAATGGCTGAACATTGTAAAATTAGTATCTACTAATTTAATTTAGTTCTGAAAGTCCTTAATTCATCCGAAATGAAGGTGATACAAAGGGAATACATTATATAAAGGAATAAACAATTGGAATTTTCTTTAAGACTTTCTTTCTTTTTCCTGATCTCCCAGCAGAGTCCTCCTCTTTGTTTCCACTCTGATCTTGTGCCCTGTGATGTGTTTGTGTAACATTGAACCCTCTGCACTGTGCAGTCAGTGGTTGGGTTAAGACTCTTCTCTGTAGTTACTCTCTCTGGATTAACAGTGGTTCTGGTTCCCTGCCTCCATCACCCCCCACCCCTTTTTCATTTGAACCCCCCACACTCATTCTCTCTCCTTCTCCGTATGCATAAATGAGATTTGTCTAGACGGGCGCTGGAACACAGGCTCTGCAACCACAGGGCTCTGCATAACAAGCTCGTTATGCAAACGTGTCTGATTGGATGGCGCTGTTCCATTGGCTGCTGCTGCTATAGAGTGAGGGGGAGAGAGAGGAACAGAAAGGGGGAGAGAGAGGGGAAGAGAGAGAGAGAGAGAGGGGGAGAGAGAGAGCTCCAGACTGCACGGTTTGGTCGCCATAGCAACACAGACGGACTGGCGATGGGGTTGGCAGGCGCTGCGGCAACATGAGCCTTTCCTCTGCGCTGCAGAGCGAGACGCCTGCGAGTCTCTCCATGGATCCACACAGGCCTACTGTGCAACGTTCATGCACGCACACACAAACACACGCACGAGCGCGCATGCACCCACGCATACAACCCAATGCCATGCCAGTGCTCACTCATACGCTCCATCTATAAACGTTCAACTGCGTAGCCTTCCAGATGTTGCGATAGCAAGGCCATGGAGACAATACTTATACAATATATGCCCTAGTCTTATTGACTGGCTAGGAGGGGGAGATGTGATTGGCTGGGCTGCTGAAGGTGTATGTTGCTTTGTTGTTGCTGTTCTCTATGTAAGCAGCATGTTTAAAGTTGAACGTGCCTCTGATGATGCCTTCTATGGAGCTCTCAACAAGCTGGGAGCTAGATATTAACTCAGTTGATTAAATGTTAATTGTTATCCAGATTGTATGGGGGTGGAGGAGTAGGAGGTCAAGTCAAGAACAACATTATTCATGTGTTTTGCTGTATGCTCTTTCTCCCTCTTTCCTCTTGAAATACAAAGACTGTGTACAGTTGAAGTTGGAAGTTTACATACACTTATGTTGGAGTCATTAAAACTTGTTTTTCAACCACTCCATACATTTCTTGTTAACAAACTATCGTTTTGGCAAGTCGGTTAGGACATCTACTTTGTGCATGACACAAGTAATTTTTCCAACAATTGTTTACAGACAGATTATTTGACTTATAATTCAATTCCAGTGGGTCAGAAGTTTACATACACTAAGTTGACTGTGCCTTTAAACAGCTTGGAAAATTCCAGAAAATGATGTCATGGCTTTAGAAGCTTCTGATAGGCTAATTGACATAATTTGAGTCAATTGGAGGTGTACCTGTGGATGTATTTCAAGGCCTACCTTCAAACTCAGTGCCTCTATGCTTGACATAATGGAAAAATCAAAAGAAATCAGCCAAGACATCAGAAAAAAAATTGTAGACCTCCACAAGTCTGGTTCATCCTTGGGAGCAATTTCCAAACGCCTGAAGGTACCACGTTCATCTGTACAAACAAAAATGCGAAAGTAGAGCGACTTACAGTTAGCGCATACATTATTTTATCGAACCCACAACCCTGGCGTTGCAAACGCCATGCTCTACCAACTGAGCTACATCCCCTGCCGGCCATTCCCTCCCCTACCCTGGACGACGCTGGGCCAATTGTGCGCCGCCCCATGGGTCTCCCAGTCGCGGCCGGCTACGACAGAGCCTGGATTCGAACCAGGATCTCTAGTGGCACAGCTAGCACTGCGATGCAGTGCCTTAGACCACTGCGCCACTCGGGAGAGACAAAATGGGACCACGCAGCCGTCATACCGCTCATGAAGGAGATGCGTTCTGTCTCCTAGAGATGAACGTACTTTGGTGCGAAAAGTGCAAATCAATCCCAGAACAACAGCAAAGGAAGATGCTGGAGGAAACGGGTACAAAAGTATCTATATCCACAGTAAAACGAGTCCTATATCGACATAACCTGAAAGGCCGCTCAGCAAGGAAGAAGCCACTGCTCCAAAACCGCCATAAAAAAGCCAGACTACGGTTTGCAACTGCACATTGGGACAAAGATCGTACTTTTTGGAGAAATGTCCTCTGGTCTGATGAAACAAAAATAGAACTGTTCGGCCATAATGACCATCGTTATGTTTGGAGGAAAAAGGGGGAAGCTTGCAAGCCGAAGAACACCATCTCAACCGTGAAGCACAGGGGTGGCAGCATCATGCTGTGGGGGTGCTTTGCTGCAGGAGGGACTGGTGCACTTCACAAAATAGATGGCATCATGAGGAAGGAAAATTATGTGGATATATTGAAGCAACATCTCAAGACATCAGTCAGGAAGTCAAAGCTAGGTCGCAAATGGGTCTTCCAAATGGACAATGACCCCAAGCATACTTCCAAAGTTGTGGCAAAATGGCTTAAGGACAACAAAGTCAAGGTATTGGAGTGGCCATCAATCCTATAGAAAATGTGTGGGCAGAACTGAAAAAGCATGTACGAGCAAGGAGGCCTTCAAACTTGACTCAGTTACACCAGCTCTGTCAGGAGGAATGGGCCAAAATTCACCCGATTTATTGTGGGAAGCTTGTGGAAGGCTACCCGAAACGTTTGACCCAATTTAAACAATTTAAAGGCAATGCTACCAAATACTAATTGAGTGTATGTAAACTTACATTTACATTTACGTCATTTAGCAGACACTCTTATCCAGAGCGACTTACAAATTGGTGCATTCACCTTATAATAGCCAGTGGTACAACCACTTTACAATGTATTTTTATATATTTTTCAAATGTTAACATTTTTAATTTTTAGAGTATATTTTAAATTTTCATTTGTTTTATATATATATATATATATATTTTAAATGTGGGGGGTGGGGGTAGAATGATTACTTTTATACTATCCCAGGTATTCCTTAACTTCTGACCCACTGGGAATGTGATGAAAAAAAAAAAAGCTGAAATAAATCATTCTCTCTACTATTATTCTGACATTTCACATTCTTAAAATAAAGTGGTGATCCTAACTGACCTAAGACAGGGAATTTTTACTAGGATTAAATGTCAGGAATTGTGAAAAACAGAGTTTAAATGTATTTGGCTAAGGTGTATGTAAACTTCCGACTTCAACTGTATGTTAGTGATATTTGCTTACTCATCTGTCTGTGTATAAAATGTATCCTGATTGATTGACAGACAGAGGGGGTGGGATTGTATACTGTAAACAATGTGTGTGTGTGTGTGTCAGGGAGGAGGAGGTGGAGGAATAGGAGTTGGTGACAATGACCCGGAGGAGCAGGCCTCAGAGCGGGACGATGACCATCCACTGCAGCGTCCAGAGATTGGCTCAGAGAGCGAGAGCAGCACCTATGCCCCCGCACCCACCACAAAGAAGAAGAAGAAGAAACCTAAGGAGAAGAAAGAGAAGAAACCCAAACGGAAGAAGAGAGAAGAGGAGGAGGATGACGATGATGATGATGATGATGATGATGATGATGATGATGATGATGAAAATAATAAGGTACAGTAAGCGTGTCTCTGTTAAAGCATCTCTGTGTAGTTTGACCTGTATTTGTGTTGTCATAGACTGAAATCTTACTTGTGTTGTTCTGTCCCAGGAGCCCAAGTCGTCCAGCCAGCTGATGCAGGAGTGGGGTCTGGAAGATGTGCAGTATGGCTTCACAGAGGAGGACTATACAACCCTCACCAACTACAAGGCTTTCAGCCAGTTCCTCAGGTACTCTACATGTAGGGTCATCATTTATTGCTTGTCTTGTCTATGGATGACTGTCATGGCTTTGTTGCTTAGTTGTTGCTTGAATCTATCCAAATAAAAACTGCATAGAGAAACTGGAGCAGTGTGGTGAACACTGGACCTTTTTTTAGAGAGAGGGGGAGGGGAGGGGAGGGGGGAGATGGAGGCTGAGGCTGTGTGTGACAGCCTGGACGTTCAGAGACTGAATGTATTGACCTGATATCTTAGAGAGGCCACTGTGCCAAACCACAAGACACTGGCTGATAAATCACAAACATGCCACGCACACAACACAGATGGGTCACCACTAGTTCTGGGGAATAAAGATACAGGTCACTCTAGTGCAGATTGTTATATAATTAACTGAGAAAATAACAAGGTAAGACTACAGTGTTCTTTCTCTTTCCCTGACTTTTCTCAGGCCACTTATTGCCAAGAAGAACCCTAAGATCCCCATGTCGAAGATGATGACAGTGTTAGGGGCCAAGTGGCGCGAGTTCAGCGCCAACAACCCCTTCAAAGGCACCTCCGCAACCGCTGTGGCTGCCGCGGTGGCTGCTGCTGTGGAAATGGTCACTGTGGCCTCGCCCATCTCTGTCAAAGAGATCACTACCCTACCAAGCTCTCAGCCTGGGCCAATCAGAAAAGCCAAAACCAAAGATGGAAAGGGTAAGGGCTGTCTGTCAAGAATGTGGTATATCAGAATGTATAGAAATATAGTAATAAAGTACCCTCTATACCTATCTGGTCTGTGCCTGATCTTGTTGTCCTATAGGGCCTGGGGTAAGACGGAAAACAAAGACTGTAAAGGAGGTGAAGAAGAAAAGTAAAGGGAAGAAGACCAAATCAAAGAAGAAGGCATCCTCGGTAAGGTTTGGAGCGGCACAGGTCTCCTTTCTTACCTTCAGTCACATTACTATGACTTGAATAGATACAGTAGGTTGTTGTTCCCAAACTCTAGTATGGATGAGGTATGTGCTTATTGTGTTAGTTATACAGTTACCAAAATACTCATTTATGGTTTTATGTCCAAAGTTGAGTGTGAACATTACTGGCTCTCATTGCTGATTGACTGTGAGGTTGTGAATGACTTGTGTCTGTTGGCAGAGTGAGGAGGACTTTGGACTTGAGGAGTCGGACTTTGATGATGTCAGCATCCACAGTGCCTCTGTGCGCTCTGATACCTCTGTGAATGCCAAGAAGAAAGCCCGGAAGGGTCGGAAAAAAAGGAAAAGTATACTATTCCTGTTATCTACACTAACCAGTTCCACTAGTTTATATCCTCCCATCTTTTCATAACCCTCATAACCCAATGACTGTTAACTGCTGTGTGTGTAGACACAGACTACATTGACTTGTATCTGAGTTTCCTGTCTTGTGTCCAGGAGAGGATGGGGATGGCTATGAGACAGACCACCAGGACTACTGTGAGGTGTGCCAGCAGGGAGGGGAGATCATCCTGTGTGACACCTGTCCCAAAGCCTACCACCTGGTGTGTCTGGACCCTGAGCTGGAGAAGGCCCCCGAGGGCAAGTGGAGCTGCCCCCACTGTGTGAGTAGTACACCTTAACCTTGACTCACTAAACACAACAGAAGTACATCATCACTATCACATTATGGCAGAAGTGCATTGTTACAACAAATTGCATTATCACTATCCCTCATCTGTGCATTCAGGAGAAGGAGGGCATCCAGTGGGAGGCCAAAGAAGATGATGATGATGATGATGATGATGAGGAGGAGGTTGCGGTTGAGGAAGAGGATGACCACCTGGAGTTCTGCAGAGTGTGTAAAGATGGAGGGGAGCTGCTGTGCTGTGACACCTGCCCCTCCTCCTATCATATCCACTGCCTCAACCCTCCCCTGCCTGAGATACCCAATGGGGAGTGGCTGTGCCCACGCTGCATGGTGAGTGACAAGTTCTCCAAACAATCAGTGTTCAGTCAGTGTCACATGCTCCACAATGGTCCAGTTGATGAACCATGTTATTTGTGAGAATGCACTTTGCTCTCCATTAATAAAATAGACTGCTGGAAACAAAATGAAAGTGTCACCCTCTGTGCAGGCTCCCAAGAGAGAACAGAGATAGACTAATGAGGATAATACCATGTTGTCTCACACAACTCTCTTTCCCCCTCTAGTGCCCACCTCTGAAGGGGAAGGTACAGAGGATTCTCCACTGGACTTGGGGGGATCCCCCCTTACCCACTGAGGTGCCCCCTGGCCCTGATGGAGAGATGGTGGACCCGCTGGTCAAGCCCCCCCTGAAGGGCCACCCGGAGAGGGAACTGTTTGTCAAGTGGGCTGGTCTCTCCTACTGGCACTGCTCCTGGGTCAGCGAACTACAGGTGAGACAATCATCTGTCTGTTTGTCTGACTGCTGCTGAGGGGTTTGTCAGAGTTATCACAGTGTTTGAAAGTCAGCAATGGTCAAATATAGTAGCTTACAAGCAGGGCTGTGCACAGACCTTTCAGGGGGCAGGTGCTCCAAAAAATATAGATTAGACTTTCATAATTCATATCTAGAAATTCATAACAGGCCTACTAACTGCCTCAGTTTTTTTGTTGTTGCATATTCCTATTTATTTCTGCAACAACACACTCATCACAAGTTTTAAGCAATCTAGTTACAGTGAAGATGAAATTATAGTCCTAAAAAAGCTTTCCAGTTTCAATGACTCACCCAATGAAGTGCAGCTCACTCGCTGACAATGGCGGAAGCGCTCGTGCCAAAAGCCTACCTCTCTCTTGTTTTACTTTGTAAAACAATGTTCGCTCAAAAGGCCAATTTGGAAGTTGATAAAATATTTTGGTAGCCTACAGGAGACAGATTAGAGTCTTCTCTTTTCAGCAGTAGCAATTTGCTTTCCAGCCTGTGTTATTCCGCAATTTTATTTGAAATATTATGAAAGGCCTGTTTTGTCTTCATGCTGTTCACTGACAGATCTGCTGCACGTTCCCGACTGTAGCTATGTCTTATTATTGTTATTGGGCTACACACAATCCACAGCTTTAAAAAAAATAAGCTATTGGCCCTCTGTGGCTGTTCCCTCTGCTACCGCACTGCAAGCGGTACCAGTGCACCAAGTCTGGAACCAGCAGGACCCTGAACAGCTTCTACCCCCAAACCATAAGACTGCTAAACAAGACTGCTAAATAGCTAATCAAATGGCTACCCGGACTACCTCATTGACCCTTTTTTAACTAACTCTCTTGCACTGACTCTATGCACACACACTGGAATCTACACACACACACACACACACACACACACACACACACACACACACACACACACACACACGCTGCTGCTAGTCATTTTACTCCTACCTATACAGTATGTACAGTACATAGCTACATCAATTACCTCATACCCCTGCACATCAACTCGGTACATGTACTCCCTGTATATAGCCATGTTATTTTCTACTCCATATATACTGTATAGCCATGTTCTTTTTACTCATTATTTTTATTCGTTATTCACTGTGTCACTATTTCTATTATTATAATTTTTAAAAATCTTATATTTAACTCTGCATTGTTGGAAAAAGACCCATAAGTAAGCATTTTGCTGTTAGTCTACACCTATTGTCTACAAATAATATTTAATTTGATTTGAAATGATAGGCCTACTCATGGTGTAGTAGACTATACAGAATTATTTCATCTCTTTCTGAACAGACAATATTTCCATTTATCACAAGTTGCTGCAGCACCTCTAGTACACTTCCCGCAGCTATGATTCTATAGTGCTGCACATAGGCTATCAGACGACCAAACCCAGTGTTGATGATGATGTGAATCAAGTGTTCAAGTGTTATGCTGCTGTGGCAATACTGTTGATATTTACACTAGGTAGCTTGCTACACACACTTGACCTGTGATTGCATTTCAAGCCATGCATGTTTGGATACCGGGCGTGCACAATCTCCGTACATGACAGACTGGGAAACAACAACAAAAACGGTATACATAAAAATATAAATTATACCACCATCCAAAAGGGCACTTGGTGAGTGGGAGGGCAAAGGGGCAGGTGCTGGTGCCTGGTAGACCCCTATCTGTGGACTTGGCTGCTTACAAGACAACACGTCACAGCACATTGTCACAAATATGACAAGAATATGGAAAACAACTTCATATCATACTTTTCTGCAGCATTGTTGGTTAAGCCCTTGTCTCTGTGGTGTGTGCAGTTAGAGCTTTACCACGCAGTGATGTACCGTAACTACCAGCGGAAGAACGACATGGACGAGCCCCCTCCGTACGACTACGGCTCTGGGGAGGAGGAGCTGAACAATGAGAAGAGGAAGAGTAAAGATCCGCAGTACGCTGCCATGGACGAGAGATTCTACCGCTACGGCATCAAGCCAGAGTGGATGATCATCCACAGGATCCTCAATCACAGGTGCTCACTCCAGACACACACTGTCCTCTCCCTGTAGGGACATTCTCTCACCCGGACTCACACTCACCACTTTACATACAGTGGAGGAAAGACAGTCATATCTACAGCATCATTAAACATTTTGTCCCAGGTTTGAAATGTGTACAAGTCATTTTCTTTGTATTCTGAGATTCAATCCAAAAGCTCACAGAGTTGTGATGGTCATTGTTACTTGCGTTCCCTGCAGTTATGATAAGGATGGAGATGTGCACTACATGATCAAGTGGAGAGACTTGCCCTATGACCAGTGCACCTGGGAGGTGGATGACTTTGACGTCCCTGATTATAACAACGCCAAGCACTCCTACTGGGACCACAGGTCAGCTCAGATCTCACACTTTGTTTTAGCTCTCTCTGTCTCGCTCTGTCTCTCTCTCTCTGTCTCTCTCTCTCTCCCTCTATCTGTGTCTCTGTGTGTGTGTGTGTGTGTGTGTGTGTGTCTCTCGCTCTTTCTCTCTAGTACACACACAAGCATTTTTCTTCACATGATTTTACAACCTGAGTTGACTATTTGTTTGTTTACTGGGATTTGACAGGGAGCAGATGATTGGTGACGACCAGCGGCCCTTAGTGGTGAGAAAGGGAAAGAAGGGCAAAGAGGAGGAGAAGAGGAGGGAGAGAGAAATCCCCCCTGACGCCCCAATTATAGATGTGAGTGACCATCATTACTAGGGACTAAAACATACAGTCCTATTGGCTTAACAATCAACTGATATACCTCTGGTTGTTCTTTCTCTGTCACTAGCCTACCATCAAGTTTGAACATCAACCCTGGTACATCAATGCCACTGGGGGCACCCTGCACCCGTACCAGCTGGAGGGTCTGAACTGGCTACGGTTCTCATGGGCACAGGGCACAGACACTATCCTGGCAGACGAGATGGGCCTGGGCAAGACTGTCCAGACCATCGTGTTCCTCTACTCACTCTACAAGGAGGTGGGTGAGGAGGACAGGCTCATACAGGACAGGGGTCAATTTGTTTAGTATTAATGTTCTATGACATTATTAAAGGAAAGGTTTTATTTTTTACAATCAAATCTCTATTTTTGATGTAAATGGAATTTTATAGAAGGGTCCAGACACCTTTTTCTATAACATACCATTTACATCAAAAATAGACATTTGGTTGTATAAAAGAAAACGTATCTTTTGGGTAAATACAACACAATAGAATCAGTACTGATTAAAGTAATACAATTTATGTTGCGTATATTGTCAAATAGTGTCTTTAGTCATGACTGAAACATGTCCTCCCCTCTCAGGGTCACTCCAAAGGGCCATACCTGGTCAGTGCTCCCCTGTCCACCATCATCAACTGGGAGAGGGAGTTTGAGATGTGGGCCCCAGACTTCTACGTGGTCACTTACACTGGGGACAAAGACAGCCGGGCGGTCATCAGGGAGAACGAGTTCACCTTTGAGGACAGTACAGTCAAGACAGGCCGCAAGGTCTTCCGTATGAAGGTATCCCCATAAACTACAGTTACAATATATTGAATCTCAGTGAACATCGACAAGCATGTAATTTACATAGAAAGGAGAATGGTTGTCATATCTAGAATCTCTGTTTTTGTCTTGACAGAAAGGCACTGCCATCAAGTTCCATGTTTTGCTGACGTCATATGAGCTGATTACCATTGATCAGACCATTCTGGGCTCCATTAACTGGGCCTGTCTAGTGGTGGATGAGGCCCACAGACTGAAGAACAACCAGTCAAAGGTAACCCAACACCTCAAATTAAACCAATGCATTCTATAAATGGATGTAATTGGTCATTATTGTCTTTGTCACTGGCAAATTGTCTAATAGTCTGTTTCTTAAGATCTAAATTCTGATTTCTTTACAATCTATTATCTATATATTATCTATATTCTCCCTTTTCAATATCATCAACCTTGTATAGTATTATGACTCAACTCTATTTGTGGCTTGGTTGAGCCTCTAATGTTGCTGTCACTGTACCTCAGTTTTTCAGAATCCTCAACGGGTATAAGATCTACTATAAGCTGCTACTGACTGGCACTCCTCTGCAGAACAACCTGGAGGAGCTGTTTCACCTGCTCAACTTCCTCACCCCAGAGAGATTTAAGTAAGAGCTGTACTGTACCTCCTCCTGTGGCCCTCCATTTGCCTGGCAGTCTGCCTATGGGGCCTGCTACCTGCTTCTGTAGCGGAGAGGAAAGACCTACAGGGTCCTCCTTACAGTACTACCTGAAGCCAATGCTTCCATTGCTCATTTTAACATCAACTGTAAAAGGTGTCTATAAACTGTTTTCCTGTGTCTGTGCTCTCTCTGTCTGCAGTAACCTGGAGGGTTTTCTGGAGGAGTTTGCAGACATCTCCAAGGAGGACCAGATCAAGAAGCTGCATGACCTGCTGGGCCCACACATGCTCAGGAGACTGAAGGCTGATGTCTTCAAGAACATGCCTTCCAAGACCGAGCTCATTGTACGAGTGGAGCTCAGCCCCATGCAGAAGTTAGTTAATCCTCTTCTAGTACTTTTCTATTGGACCTCCCATTGTTGTATAAAACCTCTTCTGAGTTGGACCCCAGGCTTAATCCCACCTCTCACCTTTGACTTTTGACCAACAGGAAGTACTATAAGTTCATACTGACGCGGAACTTTGAGGCGCTCAACTGCAAGGGCGGGGGCAACCAGGTGTCCCTGCTCAACATCATGATGGACCTGAAGAAGTGCTGCAACCATCCCTATCTGTTCCCCGTGGCAGCCATGGTGAGGGAGGGAGGAAAGATAGGAGAGGGAGGGAGGGGGAGGAGAGAGGGCAGAGGGGGGAGGCCATGCTAGAGGCTAATGGGAAGGACTGATGTTTAGGAGGACGTGTGTGTTTCTAAATGTGTGTATTGTAGAAGTTTACAGGTTGCCAACATGCAGGTACAGTTGAAGTCGGAAGTTTACATACACTTAGGTTGGAGTCATTAAAACTAGTTTTTCAACCACTCCACAAATTTCTTGTTAACAAACTATAGTTTTGGCAAGTCGGTTAGGACATCTACTTTGTGCATGACACAAGTCATTTTTCCAACAATTGTTTACAGACAGATTATTTCACTTATAATTCACTGTATCACAATTCCAGTGGGTCAGAAGTTTACATACACTAAGTTGACTGTGCCTTTAAACAGCTTGGAAAATTCCAGAAAATGATGTCATGGCTTTAGAAACTTCTGATAGGCTAATTGACATAATTTGAGTCAATTGGACGTGTACCTGTGGATGTATTTCAAGGCCTACCTTCAAACTCAGTGCCTCTTTGCTTGACATCATGGGAAAATCAAAAGAAATCAGCCAAGACATTTTTTTGTAGACTTCCACAAGTCTGGTTCATCCTTGGGAGCAATTTCCAAACGCCTGAAGGTACCACGTTCATCTGTACAAACAATAGTATGCAAGTAGAAACACCATGGGACCACACAACCGTCATACCGCTCAGGAAGGAGACGCGTTCTGTCTCCTAGAGATGAATGTACTTTGGTGCGAAAAGTGCAAATCAATCCCAGAACAACAGCAAAGAACCTTGTGAAGATGCTGGAGGAAACAGGTACAAAAGTATCTATATCCACAATAAAACGAGTCCTATATCGACATAACCTGAAAGGCCGCTCAGCAAGGAAGAAGCCACTGCTCCAAAACCGCCATAAAAAAGCCAGACTACGGTTTGCAACTGCACATGGGTACAAAGATTGTACTTTTTGGAGAAATGTCCTCTGGTCTGATTAAACAAAAATAGAACTGTTTGGCCATAATGACCATCGTTATGTTTGGAGGAAAAAGGGGAGCTTGCAAGCCGAAGAACACCATCCCAAATGTGAAGCACGGGGGTGGCAGCATCATGCTGTGGGGGTACTTTGCTGCGGGGGTGCTTTGCTGCAGGAGGGACTGGTGCACTTCACAAAATAGATGGCATCATGAGGAAGGAAAATTATGTGGATATATTGAAGCAACATCTCAAGACATCAGTCAGGAAGTTAAAGCTTGGTCGCAAATGGGTCTTTCAAATGGACAATGACCCCAAGCATACTTCCAAAGTTGTGGCAAAATGGCTTACGACAACAAAGTCAAGGTATTGGAGTGGCCATCACAAAGCCCTGACCTCAATTCTATAGAAAATGTGTCGGCAGAACTGAAAAGGCGTGTGCGAGCAAGGAGGCCTACAAACCTGACTCAGTTACACCAGCTCTGTCAGGAGGAATGGGCCAAAATTCACCCAACTTATTGTGGGAAGCTTGTGGAAGGCTACCCGACACGTTTGACCCAAGTTAAACAATTTAAAGGCAATGCTACCAAATACTAATTGAGTGTATGTAAACTTCTGACCCACTGGGAATGTGATGAAAGAAATAAAAGCTGAAAGAAATAATTCTCTCTACTATTATTCTGACATTTCACATTCATAAAGTAAAGTGGTGATCCTAACTGACCTAAGACAGGGAATTCTTACTAGGATTAAATGTCAGGAATTGTGAAAAACTGAGTTTAAATGTATTTGGCTAATGTGTATGTAAACTTCCGACTTCAACTGTACAGTGGGGGGAAAAAGTATTTAGTCAGCCACCAATTGTGCAAGTTCTCCCACTTAAAAAGATGAGAGAGGCCTGTAATTTTCATCATAGGTACACGTCAACTATGACAGACAAAATGAGAAAAGAAAATCCTAGAAAATCACATTGTAGGATTTTTAATGAATTTATTTGCAAATTATGGTGGAAAATAAGTATTTGGTCAATAACAAAAGTTTCTCAATACTATGTTATATACCCTTTGTTGGCAATGACACAGGTCAAACGTTTTCTATAAGTCTTCACAAGGTTTTCACACACTGTTGCTGGTATTTTGGCCCATTCCTCCATGCAGATCTCCTCTAGAGCAGTGATGTTTTGGGGCTGTTGCTGGGCAACACGGACTTTCAACTCCCTCCAAAGATTTTCTATGGAGTTGAGATCTGGAGACTGGCTAGGCCACTCCAGGACCTTGAAATGCTTCTTACGAAGCCAGTCCTTCGTTGCCCGGGCGGTGTGTTTGGGATCATTGTCATGCTTAAAGACCCAGCCACGTTTCATCTTCAATGCCCTTGCTGATGGAAGGAGGTTTTCACTCAAAATCTCACGATACATGGCCCCATTCATTCTTTCCTTTACAAAGATCAGTCGTCCTGGTCCCTTTGCAGAAAAACAGCCCCAAAGCATGATGTTTCCACCCCCATGCTTCACAGTAGGTATGGTGTTCTTTGGCTGCAACTCAGCATTCTTTGTCCTCCAAACACGACGAGTTGAGTTTTTACCAAAAACTTATATTTTGGTTTCATCTGACCATATGACATTCTCCCAATCCTCTTCTGGATCATCCAAATGCACTCTAGCAAACTTCAGATGGGCCTGGACATGTACTGGCTTAAGCAGGGGGACACGTCTCGCACTGCAGGATTTGAGTCCCTGGCGGCGTAGTGTGTTACTGATGGTAGGCTTTGTTACTTTGGTCCCAGCTCTCTGCAGGTCATTCACTAGGTCCCCCCGTGTGGTTCTGGGATTTTTGCTCACCGTTCTTGTGATCATTTTGACCCCACGGGGTGAGATCTTGCGTGGAGCCCCAGATCGAGGGAGATTATCAGTGGTCTTGTATGTCTTCCATTTCCTAATAATTGCTCCCACAGTTGATTTCTTCAAACCAAGCTGCTTACCTATTGCAGATTCAGTCTTCCCAGCCTGGTGCAGGTCTACAATTTTGTTTCTGGTGTCCTTTGACAGCTCTTTGGTCTTGGCCATAGTGGAGTTTGGAGTGTGACTGTTTGAGGTTGTGGACAGGTGTCTTTTATACTGATAACAAGTTCAAACAGGTGCCATTAATACAGGTAACGAGTGGAAGACAGAGGAGCCTCTTAAAGAAGAAGTTACAGGTCTGTGAGAGCCAGAAATCTTGCTTGTTTGTAGGTGACCAAATACTTATTTTCCACCATAATTTGCAAATAAATTCATAAAAAATCCTACAATGTTATTTTCTGGATTTTTTTTTCTCAATTTGTCTGTCATAGTTGACGTGTACCTATGATAAAAATTACAGGCCTCTCTCATCTTTTTAAGTGGGAGAACTTGCACAATTGGTGGCTGACTAAATACTTTTTTTCCCCACTGTATGTTTGTTTATTAGTGAGAGTTGACTGTCTGTGTGTGAGGGGCTGTGCTCTCTCATTGGGTTATTTACTCTTTGTGTAAATGCAGGAGGCACCAGTGTTACCCAATGGCTCTTATGATGGGAACCAGCTGGTCAAGTCCTCAGGCAAACTCACCCTGCTCCAGAAGATGCTGAAGAAACTCAAAGATGAAGGACACAGAGTTCTCATCTTCTCCCAGATGACTAAGATGCTGGATCTGCTTGAGGACTTTCTGGAATACGAGGGCTACAAATACGAACGCATCGATGGAGGCATCACTGGGGGGCTACGACAGGAGGCTATCGACCGCTTCAATGGTAAGTTACGCTGCTGTTCTGTCTTTCTCCAGCAGGGTACAGCACAGACAGCACTCATACTCAAACACTTCCGTACACACTCCATGACTGTGTGCCTTGATTTCTACTGCAGCACCGGGCGCTCAGCAGTTCTGCTTCCTGCTCTCCACCCGAGCTGGAGGCCTGGGCATCAACCTAGCCACGGCAGACACCGTCATCATCTACGACTCAGACTGGAACCCTCACAACGATATCCAGGTACTGTGGGACATGGTACACACTAACACAGGCTGCATAATACACTGTTGTCTGTATGCATTAGAACCATCACAGTGTTGTCAATAGTCTCTTTCCATTTCTCTTCCTCCTTGACTCCCTGTTCTGTTTCTTTGTTTCTGTATCTGCCTCTCTCTCTCTCTCCCTCTCTCTCTCTCTCTCTCTCTCTCTCTCTCTCTCTCTCTCACCATCTATCTGCTGCAGGCGTTCAGCAGGGCCCACCGTATAGGTCAGAACAAGAAGGTGATGATCTATCGCTTTGTGACGCGGGCCAGCGTGGAGGAGCGCATCACCCAGGTGGCCAAGAGGAAGATGATGTTGACCCACTTAGTGGTGAGGCCCGGCCTGGGCTCCAAGACCGGCTCCATGTCCAAACAGGAGCTGGACGACATCCTCAAATTTGGCACTGAGGAGCTCTTCAAGGACGAGATGGAGGCGGCCGCTCGGGCCATGGGTTCCCACCAGAAACTGTGTAAGACTAATGATACGCACACTGACTACACTGTGTCACAATTACAACTAATATTTGTATGAAAAAGTAAAACCTGTTTTGCCAGGAACATATCGTAGTTTTTAACTGATTTGAACTAGATATAAACCAATCTGTGTTCCTCTGATACAGTATATTGTGATACTTGTGTTTACTCCAGGGGACATAAAGGATGGAGATGAAGGTAGTGTGATCCACTATGATGACAATGCCATCTCCAAGCTGCTGGACCGTAGCCAGAATGCTACGGAGGACACTGAGATCCAGAACATGAACGAATACCTCAGCTCCTTCAAAGTGGCCCAGTACGTGGTCAAAGACGAGGACGCAGAGGTGAAGACACTCCCACACACACACTCAGTCAGCATTGGAGGTGTCTATGTCTAGGAGTGGCTCTGTTATGTATTCTCACTGTGTGTGTGTGTGTGTTCCTGTGTGTGTCTGTGGGCATGCGTGTGTTCAGGAGGAGCCCCAGCGCGAGATCATTAAGCAGGAGGAGAATGTGGATCCAGATTACTGGGAGAAGCTGCTGAGGCACCACTATGAGCAGCAGCAGGAGGATCTGGCCCGCAACCTGGGCAAAGGCAAACGCATCCGCAAGCAGGTCAACTACAACGACACGTCTCAGGAGGACCAAGGTTTGCCTCATACTGTACTGTACACTCTGGCCTGCTTTTCTCTTCTGCTTTAACAGGAATTATATGCTTATTCCACCTCCTAGGGAAAAGTTTAGTGAACTAAGCATCACTCTAGAGATAACTCTGGTAACACGAGTGGCATGCTATACCTCCCTTTGGTTGTGTGTCTATATCTATAGCAGGTTGCTTGAAAATATTGACACATTTAAAAGCTTGATTGCTTTATGTTGGTTTAGCTTTACAGTATGTAAGTTGTGTAGAGGTCCTCTGTAACACTACCCCGCATAGTTCAACGATAGGTATTTGAGACTGAAGGGGAACCATTTTAAAACCCATCTATAGCAAAAGTACACTCAGAGACGAAATGTTGATGAAGTGCACAGTCCACCAGTGTAGTGGCTGGGAGGACAGAGCAGACAGAGGCTCTGCTGCTAGTCAGTAGTAGTCAGTAGAGGATGCCTGCCCCCTAGTGGAGTAGTGTCAGTGTGCATGCCCACTGTAGTGGTCTGCAGTGCCAGCACCCCCACCCCCCACCCCCCACCCACCCCCCTAGTGGGCCCCTGCAGATGTGAATGCACTGTGCTGTTTCTCTCTGATCTGATCTGTGGCTCAGAGTGGCAGGATGATCTTTCAGACAATCATTCCGAGTACTCCGTGGGGTCCGAGGACGAGGACGAAGATTTCGAGGAGAGGCCGGAAGGTGGGTGTCAATGAGACCTGCGTAATCACTACGTTATAGATAACTCGCTCAGTGCCTGCTCTGCTCTGAGTAGATGGGCCTGGAACCTATCATTGGTAAGATGTTGCTGAGGCACCTGGCTGATGGTGGGAGTGTTTCTCTGTAGGTGGGCGCAGGCACTCTCGCAGACAGCTGAAGAGTGACAGGGACAAACCTCTGCCACCCCTGCTGGCACGCGTAGGGGGCAACATCGAGGTAAGGAAGGAAGCAAGCACTCTGGTTTTAATGTAGTATACATCGTGTGTGCGCATTGATTTGACAAATGGGTATAATGCCATGTGCCAGGTCCTGGGGTTCAACACCCGTCAACGGAAGGCCTTCCTCAACGCCATCATGCGGTGGGGCATGCCTCCTCAGGACGCTTTCAACTCTCACTGGCTGGTCAGAGACCTGAGAGGGAAGAGTGAGAAAGAGTTCAGGTATTTAAATCTCGTCTTGTATCCAGGGGTATTTTAACTGGGAGTCAACGGCATCTCAACAGTCTACTGTTCACCATTACATCCATTCAAATGCATACCTGTCTGTGTATGATGGCTCCCTGTCTCTCTAGGGCCTATGTGTCCCTGTTCATGAGACATCTTTGTGAGCCGGGGGCAGACGGGGCGGAGACCTTTGCAGACGGGGTTCCACGAGAGGGGCTGTCCCGCCAACATGTCCTCACCAGGATCGGGGTTATGTCTCTGGTTAGGAAAAAGGTACACATCAACCAATCATTAAATAACACTCCATGGTTACATTAATAAAACCCACAGAAAGCAATTTGTTTGCCTCCTAACTGGGATGAGAAATGTCTTGTAGCGTATGTTTAGATTTAGTAAGGCTGGTTCCCTGCCTCTAGCATCTGGTTTTAGATAGCATGTCTTCAATACAAAGTATAGAATGGTGGAGAAACCCAGTGTCCTCTCATAGATTGTTACCTCACTGTTGTCTGTATCCAGGTCCAGGAGTTTGAGCATGTCAATGGAAAGTACAGCACTCCAGACTTGATCCCACTTGGACTGGAGTTGAAGAAACTGACCGAGAGTCTGTCATCTGACCCCAACACCCCTGTCCTTGCCAGCCCTGCAGCCACACCCCAGCCTCCTGGCACTCCTGTCCCATCAGGTCAGAGTCACATTCGTTTTTTTTGTTTTTTACCAGGTTTGTCTCATTGAGATAAAAAAAACTATTTTCCAAGAGAGACCTGGCCAAAATAGCAGCACACAGTTTCAGACATAATTACAACATAAAACACAAAGCACTACAGTTTAAAAACATACATTTACACATTGAGCAGGCAATACATATTTGGGGAGGTGTGGTGCATCTAGGGGTCAAAACATTGACAGCCCCTCACTTTATTGTCCACCATAGATTTGAGCCTAGCTTTGAACTCATTCAAGGAGACGAGCTCCTGCAGTTTCATGTCCATTTGTAGCTTCTTCCAAGTGGTGACATGAGCTACACATCCTTACCTTGACCAGTGTGTGTTTCACTTATGTTAGTTCGTTAGATTCATTAGACAGGAAATGAGAGACACTGTTGGTGATTGTTTTGCTGTTTTTACAGAGAAGACGGACTCAATCTCAGGGCCTACTGAAGACAAGGAGACCACAGAACTAGAGTACAAGAAGCTACCAGAACTGGAGGTCAGAGTTCACTCCTCTTCTTCTGAAATGTCCCTTTATTGCCCTGTCTCTTATCCTTCTCATCCCTCTCTTTTACTGTCTTCATACTGTACTTTTCCCTTACATCTAATTTTAAATGTTCTTATCATTCAAAACATATAACACCTTTTAATGTAAACGGACTTCTTTCTTTCAACTATTCTCTCTCTCTCTCTCTCTCTCTCTCTCTCTCTCTCTCTCTCTCTCTATCCATCTCTCCATCTATCCATCTATCCATCCATCCATCCATCCATCCATCCATCCATCCATCGGTGATGGTTGTCTCTCCAGACTCATGTAAGAACAGAGTCATCTTCCCAGGTAACAGAAGGCTCCTGACAGTGATGAGACAGTGAAGGGCAGCACAGAGGACAAACCAGTCTCCTCAGAGGAGAGTAGTGAAAGGACAGACACACCCTCCACACTTACAGAGACATCCACCAATCCTAAAGAGCCTCCATCCAAACAGACAGAGCTGTCGTCCAATCAAAGCTCACCAAAAGGTGAGTGGTGCATTGCATGGTTATTATGATCCAATGAGATGTAAACGGTTAATGTATTGGCTTTGGTTTGTCCCACCTCAGAAAAATCAGTTGTAACATTTCTCTGTTTTCATTTGGCCATGTGTCTGTCTATGACCCCCTAGCGGAGCCTTGTAGCGAGACAGAGAAGTCCTTAGATAAAGCAGACAGTGATGCTGCCCCAGCCAAACCTGAGGAGAAGGAACTGAAGCCAGGTAAATGCAGAACAGGAAAAACCTGAAAACCTTCTCACTCTTTGAGTAGCAAGAGTGAAAGACACATTACTGTATATTAGTGAGATAACACTTTTTCCTGAGAGTGGAACTCAAAAATGGAATCTAGTCAATCCATTTACTTAGTTGTTTCAGATGAGCCCAAGAGCGAGGACATGCCAGGTCCAGAGGGCCGGCTGAATGGTGAGAAAGAAGCACAGGAGGAGACGGAGGACGTCAGGAGGGAGGTGGAGAAGAACGGCTTCAAAATGAGGTTCATGTTCAACATTGCCGACGGAGGCTTCACAGGTGAGGGATGAGCAGGAGATACAAATAATATGATATATGCCATTTAGCAGACACTTTTATCCAAAGCACTTACTCGTGCATACATTTTTCGTATGGGTGGCCCCAGCGGGAATCAAACCTACAATCCTGGTGTTACAAGCGCCATGCTTTACCATTTGAGCCATACAGGACAGCTAAGGTGTAGGAAGGAACACTACATGTTTGGTCAGGTTTAATGTTTGTTATTCTCTGTCAGAGCTACACACCCTGTGGCAGAACGAGGAGCGGGCCGCTGTGTCATCTGGGAAGATGTATGACATCTGGCACCGTCGCCACGACTACTGGCTGCTGGCTGGCATCGTAACGTATCCTTCCTCTGCATCTTACAGAGCTGTTCAGAATTCACAGTGCACAGTAATTCACTTGTCTGGTCTCAGAGGAGCTGAAGTCTTTAAAGCAATTTGTGATGTGAAGTTCTTTTTATAATGTTTGTTTTCACTGATGGGGGAACCTCAGACATGGCTATGCCCGCTGGCAGGACATTCAGAATGACCCACGTTATGCCATCCTCAATGAGCCCTTCAAGACTGAGATGCACAAGGGGAACTACCTGGAGATGAAGAACAAGTTCCTGGCTCGCCGCTTTAAGGTGAGACACTTGTTGCTGTCATACAAACACATTTGTGAACATCCTGAATCTGAATAGTGGGCGAAACAACAGCAGGCAACTCTCTCTCTCTACTCGCTCTCTCTCTCTACTCTCTCTACTCTCTTTCTCTCTACTCACTCTCACCCTCACTCTCTCTCTCTCTACTCTCTCTCTCTCTACTCTCACTCTCACTCTCACTCTCACTCTCTCTCTACTCTCTCTCTACTCTCTCTCTCTCTCTCTCTCTCTCTCTCTTAATCTTTTTTATTTCACCTTTATTTAACCAGGTAAGCCAGATGAGAACAAGTTCTCATTTACAACTGCGACCTGGCCAAGATAAAGCAAAGCAGTGCGATAAAAACAACAGCACAGAGTTACATATGGGGTAAAACAAAACATAAAGTCAAAAATACAACAGAAAATATATATACAGTGTGTGCAAATGTAGCAAGTTATGGAGGTAAGGCAATAAATAGGCCATAGTGCAAAATAATTACAATTAGTATTAACACTGGAATGATAGATGTGCAAGAGATGATGTGCAAATAGAGATACTGGGGTGCAAATGAGCAAAATAAATAACAATATGGGGATGAGGTAGTTGAGTGGGCTAATTTCAGAAGGGCTGTGTACAGGTGCAGTGATCGGTAAGCTGCTCTGACAACTGATGCTTAAAGTTAGTGAGGGAGATAAGAGTCTCCAGCTTCAGAGATTTTTGCAGTTCGTTCCAGTCATTGGCAGCAGAGAACTGGAAGGAATAGCGGCCAAAGGAGGTGTTGGCTTTGGGGATGACCAGTGAGATATACCTGCTGGAGTGCATACTACGGATGGGTGTTGCTATGGTGACCAATGAGCTAAGATAAGGCGGGATTTGCCTAGCAGTGATTTATAGATGGCCTGGAGCCAGTGGGTTTGGCGACGAATATGTAGTGAGGACCAGCCAACAAGAGCGTACAGCTCACAGTGGTGGGTAGTATATGGGGCTTTGGTGACAAAATGGATGGCACTGTGATAGACTACATCCAATTTGCTGAGTAGAGTGTTGGAGGCTATTTTGTAAATGACATCGCCAAAGTCAAGGATCAGTAGGATAGTCAGTTTTACAAGGGCATGTTTGGCAGCATGAGTGAAGGAGGCTTTGTTGCGAAATAGGAAGCCGATTCTAGATTTAACTTTGGATTGGAGATGCTTAATGTTAGTCTGGAAGGAGAGTTTACAGTCTAACCAGACACCTAGGTATTTGTAGTTGTCCACATACTCTAGGTCAGACCCGTCGAGAGTATTGATTATAGTCGGGTGGGCGGGTGCCAGCAGCGTTCGATTGAAGAGCATGCATTTAGTTTTACTAGTGTTTAAGAGCAGTTGGAGGCTACGGAAGGAGTGTTGTATGGCATTGAAGCTCATTTGGAGGTTTGTTAACACAGTGTCCAATGAAGGGCCAGATGTATACAAAATGGTGTCGTCTGCGTAGAGGTGGATCTGAGAGTCACCAGCAGCAAGAGCGACATCATTGACATCACAGAGAAAAGAGTTGGCCCAAGAATTGAACCCTGTGGCATCCCCATAGAGACTGCCATAGGTCCAGAAAACAGGCCCTCCGATTTGACACATTGAACTCTATCTGAGAAGTAGTTGGTGAACCAGGCGAGGCAGTCATTTGAGAAACCAAGGCTATTTAGTCTGCCAATAAGAATGCGGTGGTTGACAGAGTCGAAAGCCTTGGCCAGGTCGATGAAGACGGCTGCACAGTACTGTCTATTATCGATTGCGGTTATAATATCGTTTAGGACCTTGAGCGTGGCTGAGGTGCACCCATGACCAGCTCGGAAACCAGATTGCATAGCGGAGAAGGTACGGTGGGATTCGAAATGGTCGGTGATCTGTTTGTTAACTTGGCTTTCAAAAACTTTCGAAAGGCAGGGCAGGATGGATATACAGTGGGGGAAAAAAGTATTTAGTCAGCCACCAATTGTGCAAGTTCTCCCACTTAAAAAGATGAAAGAGGCCTGTAATTTTCATCATAGGTACATGTCAACTATGACAGACAAAATGAGGAAAAAAAATCCAGAAAATCACATTGTAGGATTTTTTATGAATTTATTTGCAAATTATGGTGGAAAATAAGTATTTGGTCACCTACAAACAAGCAAGATTTCTGGCTCTCACAGACCTGTAACTTCTTCTTTAAGAGGCTCCTCTGTCCTCCACTCGTTACCTGTATTAATGGCACCTGTTTGAACTTGTTATCAGTATAAAAGACACCTGTCCACAACCTCAAACAGTCACACTCCGAACTCCACTATGGCCAAGACCAAAGAGCTGTCAAAGGACACCAGAAACAAAATTGTAGACCTGCACCAGGCTGGGAAGACTGAATCTGCAATAGGTAAGCAGCTTGGTTTGAAGAAATCAACTGTGGGAGCAATTATTAGGAAATGGAAGACATACAAGACCACTGATAATCTCCCTCGATCTGGGGCTCCACGCAAGATCTCACCCCGTGGGGTCAAAATTATCACAAGAACGGTGAGCAAAAATCCCAGAACCACACGGGGGGACCTAGTGAATGACCTGCAGAGAGCTGGGACCAAAGTAACAAAGCCTACCATCAGTAACACACTACGCCGCCAGGGACTCAAATCCTACAGTGCCGGACGTGTCCCCCTGCTTAAGCCAGTACATGTCCAGGCCCGTCTGAAGTTTGCTAGAGTGCATTTGGATGATCCAGAAGAGGATTGGGAGAATGTCATGTGGTCAGATGAAACCAAAATATAACTTTTTGGTAAAAACTCAACTTGTCGTGTTTGGAGGACAAAGAATGCTGAGTTGCATCCAAAGAACACCATACCTACTGTGAAGCATGGGGGTGGAAACATCATGCTTTGGGGCTGTTTTTCTGCAAAGGGACCAGGACGACTGATCCGTGTAAAGGAAAGAATGAATGGGGCCATGTATCGTGAGATTTTGAGTGAAAACCTCCTTCCATCAGCAAGGGCATTGAAGATGAAATGTGGCTGGGTCTTTCAGCATGACAATGATCCCAAACACACCGCCCGGGCAACGAAGGAGTGGCTTCGTAAGAAGCATTTCAAGGTCCTGGAGTAGCCTAGCCAGTCTCCAGATCTCAACCCCATAGAAAATCTTTGGAGGGAGTTGAAAGTCTGTGTTGCCCAGCGACAGCCCCAAAACATCACTGCTCTAGAGGAGATCTGCATGGAGGAAGGGGCCAAAATACCAGCAACAGTGTGTGAAAACCTTGTGAAGACTTACAGAAAACGTTTGACCTGTGTCATTGCCAACAAAGGGTATATAACAAAGTATTGAGAAACTTTTGTTATTGACCAAATACTTATTTTCCACCATAATTTGCAAATAAATTCATTAAAAATCCTACAATGTGATTTTCTGGATTTTTTTTCCCTCATTTTGTCTGTCATAGTTGACGTGTACCTATGATGAAAATTACAGGCCTCTCTCATCTTTTTAAGTGGGAGAACTTGCACAATTGGTGGCTGACTAAATACTTTTTTCCCCCACTGTAGGTCTGTAACAGTTTGGATCTAGAGTGTCACCCCCTTTGAAGAGGGGGATGGCCGCGGCAGCTTTCCAATCTCTGGGGATCTCAGAAGTTACGAAAGAGAGGTTGAACAGGCTAGTAATAGGGGTTGCGACAATTTCGGCGGCTACAGGATGCAAATTTCTGTTTGAAAAAGCTAGCCTTTGCTTTCCTAACTGCTTGTGTATATTGGTTCCTAACTTCCCTGAAAAGTTGCATATCGCGGGGGCTTTTCGATGCTAATGCAGTACGCCACATGATGTTTTTGTGCTGGTCAAGGGCAGTCAAGTCTGAGGAGAACCAGGGGCTATATATGTTCTTAGTTCTGATTTTTTTGAATGGGGCATGCTTATTTAAGATTGAGAGGAAAGCACTTTTAAAGAACAACCAGGCATCCTCTACTGACAGAATGAGATCTATATCCATCCAGGATACCTGGGCCAGGTCAATTAAGAAGGCCTGCTCGCTAAAGTGTTTTAGGGAGCGTTTGACAGTGATGAGGGGTGGTCGTTTGACCGCGGACACGTTACAGACGCAGGCAGTGATCGCTGAGATCCTGGTTGAAGACAGCGGTGTATTTAGAGGGTAAGTTAGTCAGGATGATATCTATGAGGGTGCCCATGTTTACGGATTTAGGGTTGTACCTGGTAGGTTCCTTGATAATTTGTGAGATTGAGGGCATCTAGTTTGGATTGTAGGATGGCCGGGGTGTTAAGCATATCCCAGTTTAGGTTACCAAGCAGTACGAACTCTGAGGATAGATGGGGGGCAATCAATTCACATATGGTGTCCAGGGCACAGTTGGGGTCTGTAGCAAGCGGCAACAGTGAGAGACTTATTTCTGGAAAGGTGGATTTTTAGAAGTAGGAGCTCAAACTGTTTGGGCACAGACCTGGATAGTATGATAGAGCTCTGCAGGCTATCTCTACAGTAGATTGCAACTCCACCCCCTTTGGCAGTTCTATCTAGACGGAAAATGTTGTAGTTGGGGATGGACATTTCTGAATTTTTGGTGGCCTTCCTAAGCCAGGATTCAGACACTGCTAGAACATCAGGGTTGGCGGAGTGTGCTAACGCAGTGAATAACTCAAACTTAGGAATGAGGCTTCTGATGTTAACGTGCAGGAAACCAAGGCTTTTACGGTTACAGAAGTCAACAAATGATAGCTCATGGGGAGTACATTCACAATTACATTTACGTCATTTAGCAGACGCTCTTATCCAGAGCGACTTACAAATAGGTGCATTCACCTTATAGCCAGTGGGATAACCACTTAAAAAAAAAAAAATTGGGGGGGGGGGGGGGGTTGGTTGGAGTAAAGGGGGGGGGGGGTAGAAGGATTACTTTATCCTATCCCAGGTATTCCTTAAAGAGGTGGGGTTTCAAATGTCTCCGGAAGGTGGTGAGTGACTCCGCTGTCCTGGCGTCGTGAGGGAGCTTGTTCCACCATTGGGGTGCCAGAGCAGCGAACAGTTTTGACTGGGCTGAGCGGGAACTGTGCTTCCGCAGAGGTAGGGGAGCCAGCAGGCCAGAGGTGGATGAACGCAGTGCCCTCGTTTGGGTGTAGGGACTGATCAGAGCCTGAAGGTACGGAGGTGCCGTTCCCCTCACAGCTCCGTAGGCAAGCACCATGGTCTTGTAGCAGATGCGAGCTTCCACTGGAAGCCAGTGGAGTGTGCGGAGGAGCGGGGTGACGTGAGAGAACTTGGGAAGGTTGAACACCAGACGGGCTGCGGCATTCTGGATGAGTTGTAGGGGTTTAATGGCACAGGCAGGGAGCCCAGCCAACAGCGAGTTGCAGTAATCCAGACGGGAGATGACAAGTGCCTGGATTAGGACCTGTGCCGCTTCCTGTGTAAGGCAGGGTCGTACTCTCCGAATGTTGTAGAGCATGAACCTACAGGATCGGGTCACCGCCTTGATGTTAGCGGAGAACGACAGGGTGTTGTCCAGGGTCACACCAAGGCTCTTCGCACTCTGGGAGGAGGACACAACGGAGTTGTCAACCGTGATGGCGAGATCATGGAACGGGCAGTCCTTCCCCGGGAGGAAGAGCAGCTCCGTCTTGCCGAGGTTCAGCTTGAGGTGGTGATCCGTCATCCATACTGATATGTCTGCCAGACATGCAGAGATGCGATTTGCCACCTGGTTATCAGAAGGGGGAAAGGAGAAGATTAGTTGTGTGTCGTCTGTGTAGCAATGATAGGAGAGGCCATGTGAGGATATGACAGAGCCAAGTGACTTGGTGTATAGCGAGAATAGGAGAGGGCCTAGAACTGAGCCCTGGGGGACACCAGTGGTGAGAGCACGTGGTGCGGAGACAGCTTCTCGCCACGCCACTTGATAGGAGCGACCGGTCAGGTAGGACGCAATCCAAGAGTGAGCCGCGCCGGAGATGCCCAGCTCGGAGAGGGTGGAGAGGAGGATCTGATGGTTCACAGTATCAAAGGCAGCAGGCAGGTCTAGAAGGACAAGAGCAGAGGAGAGAGAGTTAGCTTTAGCAGTGCGGAGAGCCTCCGTGACACAGAGAAGAGCAGTCTCAGTTGAATGACCAGTCTTGAAACCTGACTGGTTTGGATCAAGAAGGTCATTCTGAGAGAGATAGCAAGAGAGTTGGCTAAAGACGGCACGCTCAATAGTTTTGGAGAGAAAAGAAAGAAGGGATACTGGTCTGTAGTTGTTGACATCAGAGGGATCGAGTGTTGGTTTTTTGAGAAGGGGTGCAACTCTCGCTCTCTTGAAGACGGAAGGGACATAGCCAGCGGTCAAGGATGAGTTGATCAGCGAGGTGAGGTAAGGGAGAAGGTCACCGGAGATGGTCTGGAGAAGAGAGGAGGGGATAGGGTCAAGCGGGCAGGTTGTTGGGCGGCCGGCCGTCACAAGTCGCAAGATTTTATCTGGAGAGAGAGGGGAGAAAGAAGTCAAAGCATAGGGTAGGGCAGTGTGAGCAGGACCAGCAATGTCATTTGACTTAACAAACGAGGATCGGATGTCGTCAACCTTCTTTTCAAAATGGTTGACGAAGTCATCCATAGAGAGGGAGGAGGGTGGGGGGAGGGGGAGGAGGATTCAGCAGGGAGGAGAAGGTGGCAAAGAGCTTCCTAGGGTTAGAGGCAGATGCTTGGAATTTAGAGTGGTAGAAAGTGGCCTTAGCAGCAGAAACAGATGAAGAAAATGTAGAGAGGAGGGAGTGAAAAGATGCCAGGTCCGCAGGGAGTCTAGTTTTCCTCCATTTCCGCTCGGCTGCCCGGAGCCCTGTTCTGTGAGCTCGCAATGAGTCATCAAGCCACGGAGCTGGAGGGGAGGACCGAGCCGGCCGGGAGGATAGGGGACATAGAGAGTCAAAGGATGCAGAAAGGGAGGAGATGAGGGTTGAGGAGGCAGAATCAGGAGATTGGAGGGAAAAGGATTGAGCAGAGGGAAGAGATGATAGGATGGAAGAGGAGAGAGTAGCGGGAGAGAGAGAGCGAAGGTTGCGACGGCGCATTACCATCTGAGTAGGGGCAGAGTGAGTAGTGTTGGAGGAGAGCGAGAGAGAAAAGGATACAAAGTAGTGGTCGGAGACATGGAGGGGAGTTGCAGTGAGATTAGTAGAAGAACAGCATCTAGTAAAGATGAGGTCAAACGTATTGCCTGCCTTGTGAGTAGGGGGGGACGGTGAGGGGGTGAGGTCAAAAGAGGAGAGGAGTGGAAAGAAGGAGGCAGAGAGAAATGAGTCAAAGGTAGACGTAGGGAGGTTGAAGTCCCCCAGAACTGTGAGGGGTGAGCCATCCTCAGGAAAGGAACTTATCAAGGCGTCAAGCTCATTGATGAACTCTCCAAGGGAACCTGGAGGGCGATAAATGACAAGGATATTAAGCTTAAATGGGCTAGTGACTGTGACAGCATGGAATTCAAATGAGGAGATAGACAGATGGGTCAGGGGAAAAATAGAGAATATCCACTTGGGAGAGATGAGGATTCCTGTGCCACCACCCCGCTGACCAGATGCTCTCGGGGTATGCGAGAACACATGGACAAACGAGGAGAGAGCAGTAGGAGTAGCAGTGTTTTCAGTGGTAATCCATGTTTCCGTCAGCGCCAAGAAGTCGAGGGACTGGAGGGTAGCATAGGCTGAGATGAACTCTGCCTTGTTGGCAGCAGAACGGCAGTTCCAGAGGCTGCCTGAGACCTGGAACTCCATGTGGGTGGTGCGTGCAGGGACCACCAGGTTAGAGAGGCAGCAGCCACGCGGTGTGAGGCGTTTGTATAGCCTGTGTGGAGAGGAGAGAACAGGGATAGACAGAGGCATAGTTGACAGGCTGCAGAAAATGGCTACAATAATGCAAAGGAGATCGGAATGAAATGAACTAAACATCTGGGAAAGGAGAGAGCGGGGCCTCCCTCACCACAACACCCAAATATAACTCTCCCAACTTCCACCTCAGAAACTATAATTGTTGTAAACTACAGCGGTACAATGTTTTCTAGGAATAGACTAACTTAGTTTATTCAGCTAGCTAACTAGGTACAGTATTCTTCCGTGAAAATCGTCCAGGGCACCTAGTCTTAAGACGCCACAGCCAGCTAGCATGCCGAACTCCAACAACACGGTTTAGCACCAATACTCGGCCACAACAAACCACCAGTGTGTCAACACGCCAAGCAGATCGTTCGTGTCCGTGTCTAACGTTGTGGGTTAGTCCCGACAGCTTGAGCAAGTCCGTCGTCAACTTATTCAGCCAGTTAGTTAGCTAGAATAGTTAGCATACTAGCTAGCCATTGCTTTCAGACAAAGAAGAAACCCCTCCTTTCACGGCACGAACACACAGAGAAGGCCAAGCTAACGTTAACTAGTCACCCATGTCCCGAATTCCTTGAACGACTCTGGCTACCAATATGTAAAAACAAAACACAAATGTAGGTTATGACTTACCCCTAGCAGCTACTGTTAGCTAGCCAAGTGCAAAGCTAGCCACTGAATTGAGTCAGCCAGTTCGCGTCTGTTTGCTAGGTCGTTCCAGCTATTGTTTACTAGTAGCTATCCAGGTAGCAACAAGCTAGCTAAATTTCAAGCACAGTAGCCACTTACTACCTAACGTTAACGGTTCAGACAATGATTAGCCAACAACAACATCCATTTGGTTGCAGCTAGCTAGTTGCGATGATCCGGTGTTAAAGGTCCAGTGATTTAGTGATTCCGGCAGAAAATCCGATATGTTCTGGGTCGATAACGCGCTGTGCAGACAGTGCAGACTGGCCGATAATAGTCCAGGCTAGAGCTGGCTGGTAGGTAGTGCAGGCCACGGACAATGGTGAAAAACCGCTAACGGTGGCTAATAGCAAGTAGCTAGTTAGCTGGCTACTCCCGTCCAGTAGACAAAGAGGTAGATAGCCGGGATATGGGCCTGGCACGAGGCTAGCTCAAGGCTAACTGGTGCTTGCTTCGGGGGCAGTGGTGATTAGCCTACAGCAACATCCATTCAGTTGCGGCTAGCTAGTTGTGATCCGGTGTTAAGGTCCAGTGATTCAGTTATTCCGGCAGAACATCTGATGTTCTGGGTGAAAACCGCTAACGGTGGCTAATAGCAAGTAGCTAGTTAGCTGGCTAGCTAGTTTCAACTGGAGATTCTAGATAAAGGTGAGTAAATAAATATAATCCGTTCCACATTGAGTGAGGCGGGTTGCAGGAATGTATATTTAGTAGAAGGATGAAAAGTGTGATAGGGAAATATATGTAAAATACAAAACAAAATAAAAAAAACAGGCTATTTACATGGACAAACAGAGAACACGACCGCACTGCTACACCATCTTGGATATCTCTCTCTCTCAGCTGTTGGAGCAGGCTCTGGTGATAGAGGAGCAGTTAAGGAGGGCAGCGTACCTGAATATGACCCAGGACCCCAGCCACCCGGCCATGGCCCTGAATACCCGCTTTGCTGAGGTGGAGTGTCTGGCTGAGTCTCACCAGCACCTGTCCAAGGAGTCTCTGGCCGGGAACAAGCCAGCCAACGCTGTGCTGCACAAAGGTCTGTCATCTCCCAGTGTGTACACAGCAGCAGGACTAAAACACTGTCTACAAACTCAAGATCTGGGTGAATAAAAATTAAGTATTGCATCAACTGTAGATAAGATTGGATACATTAGTGCATTCTTGTCATTGATGGTGCGTGCATGTGTGTGTGTATTCCAGTACTGAACCAGCTGGAGGAGCTGCTGAGTGATATGAAGGCGGATGTGACGCGACTTCCCAACATGTTGTCCCGGATCCCCCCGGTGTCTGCCCGACTGCAGATGTCTGAGAGGAGCATCCTCAGCCGCCTCACCAGCCGCGGCAACGAACCTCCGCCCCAACAGGTACTGTACAGGCATGGGCTCGGTTATGGTGATAGGTGGGTTAGGATTTGTACAATTAGGTTTAGTTTGGTTGGGACAAGATTAGGTTCAGGGTTCTGTAGGTTTGGCTTTGTTTAGTTGGGGTGGTTTGGTTTGGTAAGTAATTTTGGTTGATTCCTTCATTGACAGGGTGTGTAAAATGTGTTCTGTACTCTACCTCCAGCCGTTCAGCCAGGGCTCATTTGCCTGTTCCCAGATGTACAGCACTGGTTTTGGGGGCAGCTTCCGGGGGCCTGTGGGAGGAGCCATGGTCAACTACAGCCAGATGCCCCTGGGACCCTACGTCAGTGGTAAGAGGCCTGTCTCTGCATGACTGTATTTCTAACTGTAGGATAAGATGTTTCATATCTGATCAGCTGAGGACAGATGGAACACTGTAAGATGAAATGCTACTCTGCGTCCCTTTCTAATAATATGTTAGGGAATGAATAGCTTAAAATGTTTTATGTGGGTCATTTATTTTTCTGAGAACACTTTCTTTGGTATCCCTGTTTGGTATCCCTTCACCCCCCCCCCCCCCCCAAATTATTCCCCCCTTGGGGCCCCCTCTTCTAGTGTCCAACGGCCCCCCACCCCCGTCCAGCCACCTGGACAAGAAGTCCTGCGACCCGCTGAGGGACGTCACCACCCCTGATCTCAAGTCAGGCAAGCCCAGTGATGTCATCTGTATTGAAGATTAGATCAGCTACCCCAAAACTGATCTGGAGTCAGCCAAGCCCAGGGATGTCAACTATTATATCAAGGATTACAGAATCCCCCCCCCCCACCCCCTCCTCATCCTCCCCTCCTGCAAGAAGCTCTCTGTCTATGGATCAGAGGATAAACCTAGGAATAATACATAGATGTATTTATCTATCGTATCAATTGCACTTCTATCTTTCAAGGATTCTTCAACATACTTCATGCAGTAGCTATTTGCTTTTATGACTTAGGTTGGTGAGTCAAGCAGAGGAACTGTCTATTAGGATGTGAGAGTCAAACGACTCAGACGCCAGACTTCTGCTACCTGACACGTGGAAGGGAAGTGATCTTATAGAATGCCTGGAACCGCCCTGTCTGAAGGGGAAAGTCTTGGCTACAGGAAGAGCAGCAAAAAGTGAAAGTACACATGGTGGATGAGCCGGTGGAGGTGCCAATGCTCTGGAGCTGCTGTAATGAGAATCATTTGTGTCTATTCGTTGACTTTAGGCCTGGCTCTGCTCCTTCATTCCGGGTCTTTTCCTTCTGCGTTCATCTTTGGCCTTTTCTCTGTGCATCGGGACTGACCTCTGCTGGAGCTGTGTGCTTTAGCTACGTACATATAGAAGGAAAATAGAACTATGAAGGCATAAGGCTCCCATCCTAGAATTATAGAGATGATAAGTGGGTGCTGATACGGCAGCCAATTCTCTGATTATGTTTACTACATGTTTGTTTTTATAGTTTTATGGCAGAGCCTTGAGTTGGAACTTGTAATAATAAAAGTGACTTTAAGGAAGTACAGCTGCACTATGCCTCAACCCCTAAAGACTGCCATCTCCCTCCTCTGGAGGAAGTGATCCTAGTTACAGAGCTGCATTCGCTACTAATATACCAGGGTTTCTCCCTTGTAAAGTACATAGTTCAAGAGACTGCTGTTTATTTTGCCTTGCATAATCATTGTGAATTTAACGCAAACATGCATAAAACTGGAACAGGCTGGATTAGTGCAAAAAGTGAAGATCACATAGAAGTTACTAGCCTATTTCTGCAAATGTTACGTACATGTTTTCTTTAACATTTGAATGTGATTATTGGCTGTTAAGCCAAACCCCAGGGCCATGAAGAGTGTGTGCTATAAACAGAATCTCCTCCTGTCCATCATATGGTTGGGATGTCAAGCTAATTGTGTGATGTACATGGTGCTGGATGGGAGGGATCCTGTCGCCTTTACCATATACAGTTATTGTGTTATAGTTCCCCAAAGCCCCTCCCTCCCTCTTCCATTGTGAGAAATGAAAAACTAAAAAGTGCTTACGACACTACGTCACCTTTTGGCCTAGGTTTAATGTTTTCCATGAAATGTGCGTTATTGTGTGTTCTTCATGTTAAGGTAAAGTGTTATTTCAGAATGTACTGCTTTAGTGCCACTAAAATAGGGCTGCTCACTCCATGTCCCTGATGGCTAATGTCCCAGATTGTATGCTTGATAATCTTATAAGTGGGTGGAATTCTTTCCATTGAGAACTGAGGGCAGTGGTTGAATCAGATAGATAATTCAATCATCAATAGATTATAATCTTCATAGAGTTTGATAGCCATCAAGGACCAATGTTGGATAGCCATACAGTAAAAGTATCAAAAGCTGTTTTGTTTTCTTGTTTTTTTATGTTTAGTTTTATATGGGTTCCTTGGAAGGGAACTGTTTATTGCATTACGTGTTGTGAGGACTAAACCGTATCAGAGCGACAGCATGGATTCACTTGACAATACTGTTTATTCCAACTGTCTGCTAATGTGATTGTCCAAAGTGAAACTACCTTTTTATATGTTCAATGAGACTTCATTTGTTCAGATTTTTCATGAATGTGTGTTTTACATTTTCTCATTGAAAACCTTAAAGGCCCAGTGCAGTCAAAAATGTGATTTTCCTGTGTTTAATTTTTTCCACACTGAGGTTGGAATAATACTGTGAAAATGATGAAAATGCCCTTTTAGTGTAAGAGCTGTTTGAAAAGACTGGCTGAAATTTCAGCCTGTTTTGGTGGGATTGATTTTTGGTTACATCACCAGGTGGTAAATTTGTTAAAAGACCAATAAGAAAGAGAGTTCCAAACCTCTCAATAACAGCTAGTTTTCAGTTTGACCTCCCCACTCAGACCAGACAGTCCTAGCAAAATTCTTGCTTGAGATATTGTTCTTTGCTAAGAAGCTATTTTTGTTTCATTTTTATCATTTAAATTTAAGTTAATCACAGTAAGGTACTTAATTGTTACCCGGAAATGATTTTATATTAAGATAAGATATTGGACCTTTAAATGCGATGTTTGCTCTTATTTTTCTCTCAAAGACTAGCGGCATGACCTATTTGTATTGTTTTTAATGACACGGCTATAGCGCTCATGTGGAGGTCTTGAGAAAGGATTTGTTTATGGACTGTCCTGAACTGAAGAGATTACTGTATACAGGATGTGATTGTAGCTCTGCTCTATAGGCTTTTTATATGAATGTCCTGAGGTGCTCTGTTGGCTGAATAGTGTTACTGCTCAGTGTCTGACTGTCTTCTCAGACAAAGCACTTTACCTGAAGTTTAACTGAGTGCAGTATCACACGGCCTTGACTGATCTCATTAAATTACAAACACAACAATATATATTGGCCAGTTAAGATAGGAATTCCTAACAAATAGGGCACATGTCAGTTCTTAGGCTATTATTTTGCACCCAATTGAGTGTGTGTTTATCAGTGCTGTTCTGTCCATGGAGTGTACAGTCCCAGTGTTTCTGTTCAGCCTGTTACTCAATTTTTAAGTCATATGAGGGTCCCTGTGTGGACTAGCTATAGTGTAGGTTTGGATGGTTTGGACAAGACCCACACCTTGTCATTGATTGGATTAGTGTCCCTGGACAGCAGCATATAACAACGCTATGTACATACTAAGATTTACAGTGCTTTGTCTCTCTCATACTCTTATCGATCATGTATCTAGCTACACAGTATGCATGAGAGAAACTGAATGTTGCAGGGTAGTTGCCATAGAACTGCAATGTGCGCACAGGATGTGTTCAATCAAATCCACATGTCTGTTTCCTTACGGAGTGCCGAAGTGACTATGAAATCAAAAGTGTTTAAATGAAATGCAATCAAACTGAAGTCAGTATGAATGTAATGTGTATGTAAGAAGGCCTCAGTCTAATACTATAAATATATTTACAGTGTATGTACATGCTTATAAACAAGGCTTCAAAAGCTACCAAAAGACCCTGGTAAAGGCACCTTTGTTGCAGTGAATGTACAGCATGTGAAATGTTTTGTATGAAGGTTCAATTTGGTAAGGTTCAGAGATGGTTGCTCTGTGTAGCTAGCTTTGAGAGAGACATTGAATTCAAGCAGTGTTATAATGGTACAGATGTTTGTGCTAAATTGCAAATGAATGAAAAACAGTGAATTGTCATCTTTTACTTTGGACTCTGTGTATTTGTTCAATGTGTTTTAATAAATCCTCTCAACAACAATAGACATACCTCATTGCTTAAATGCACATCTGAGAAAATAAGCAAATTCTCAGTTTGAGTATGCGTGAACTGTGAAGTTTGATATTTTAAGTTGACTTTCTGTTGCTCAGAGTGAAACCCACAGGGTACGCAGACGACACCATTTTGTATACATCTGGCCCTTCATTGGACACTGTGTTAACAAACCTCCAAACTAGCTTCTATGCCATACAACACTCCTTCCGTAGCCTCCAACTGCTCTTAAACACTAGTAAAACTAAATGCATGCTCTTCAATTGAACGCTGCTGGCACCCGCCCACCCGACTAGAATCACTACTCTCGGCGAGTCTGACCTAGAGTATGTGGACAACTACAAATACCTAGGTGTCTGGTTAGACTGTAAACTCTCCTTCCAGACTCACATTAAGCATCTCCAATCCAAAGTTAAATCTAGAATATTCCTATTTCGCAACAAAGCCTCCTTCACTCATGCTGCTAAACATGCCCTCGTTAAACTGACTGTCCTACCGATCCTTGACTTCGGCGATGTCATTTACAAAATAGCCTCCAACACTCTACTCAGCAAATTGGATGTAGTCTATCACAGTGCCATCTGTTTTGTCACCAAAGCCCCATATACTACCCACCACTGTGACCAGTACGCTCTTGTTGGCTGGTCCTCACTACATATTCGTCGCCAAACCCACTGGCTCCAGGTCATCTATAAATCACTGCTAGGCAAATCCCCGCTATATATATCTCACTGGTCATCCCCAAAATCAACACCTCCTTTGGCCGCCATTCCTTCCAGTTCTCTGCTGCCAATGACTGGAACGAACTGCAAACATCTCTGAAGCTGGAGACTCTTATCTCCCTCACTAACTTTAAGCATCAGTTGTCAGAGCAGCTTACCTGTTGGAGGAGCAGCTTACTGCACCTTTACACAGCCCATCTGTAATTAGCCCACCCAACTACCTCATCCCCATATTGTTATTTATTTTGCTCATTTGCACCCCAGTATCTCTATTTGCACATCATCTCTTGCACATCTATCATTCCAGTGTTAATACTAAATTGTAATTATTTTGCACTATGGCCTATTTATTGCCTTATCTCCATAACTTGCTACATTTGCACACACTGTATATATATTTTCTGTTGTATTTTTGACTTTATGTTTTGTTTACCCCATATGTAACTCTGTGTTGTTGTTTTTTATCGCACTGCTTTGCTTTATCTTGGCCAGGTCGCAGTTGTAAATGAGAACTTGTTCTCAACTGGCTTACCTGGTTAAATAAAGGTGAAAATAAAAAATCTAATAAAATAAAAGGAAGGTTGGCCGCCCAAAAAATACATGGAACAGGACAAATGAGGAGGAGATGAAGATTGCAGGAACCACCTGGAATGAAGTCAAGAAAACGTTCCAGAACAGAGTTTTCTGGAGATGCAGCTCTGAGGCCCTTTTCTCCAGTAGGAGCTGAAAGGAATAAGCCAAGTAAGTCAAGTT